GTCATTGCCTTTCAAGGCACATTACCTTCTTAGCTTAGCAGAAACTTTAATTAGCCTAGGGTGCTGATTTCCCTTGAGCCTATTGTACTGAACTATGCTACTGCTTGTCCAAATACATGACTTTCTTAGGCTAGCCTAAGCCTTTAATTAGCCTAGTGTGCTAACTGCCCAGTCAACTCTCAGTCCAGCATCTCAAGATTAAGAGTTGTGAGCAAAATAATTTATATATATGTATATAAATGTTCAATGTTAAATGTCCTAGTTCATGAACCAGTTCTATTAGTAAACCAAAGAGTTTGCTTCAAGTGTGTGCCGCTATTATCTGTTTAGAGTACTCTATGCAAATAATATTGTTGCATGCATTAGCGTATTACACGCTCCTTAAGAAGGCCTTAGTGTAGTCTGGTTGCACGAGATTCTGTTACCGCCCACTACACTCCGAATTGCGGACTCGATCGGCTGCGAGACTCCAGCGGTCGACTCCCTTTCGGAACCCCCTGTCGTCTTTGAGTTGTAGGGTCGCTACCTACCCAGAGGCAGTCACTTTTGTGATGAGGGGGCATTGTAAGCTTGCTTCTAGTTCCGACAGCGGGATTCCAGTCCATTCAATTGAATATCTGAAGCTTGGCTGTACTTGTGTTAGTGTAGCAGAACTCTAAATACATTTCACTGCTATTCTCAAACAAAGCTTACATAGTCTAGTGCATAATACTAGACTCAGATATCCACCTCTAATCAAATTTCACTATAGTCTTGCTTTCACCCATGTGGTTCATCAAATGCAAGGATCAAACTCACAATCTTTGTGATGGTAAACTGGAACGCTAAAGGACAAACCACCCGGCGTACACTAGAGGGCAGTCTCAAGTGCAGAGCAACAGGGACTCAAGGGAAGAGTTCATTTTGAAAAAACATACTTGGTGTTGGCCTAGATTTTCACCAGGTCCATGCTCAGCCTGGACATCACAAACACGAGAAAGCTGACTGACTGTGCATGAAAGATTTCTCCAGCTTTATGTAGAGGTGGTTCTCTAGCAAAAGCTAGAGTACTCAGCATGAGCTATGTTCTCATCCACAGAGTAGCTGTAGATGAGGATGTCATCTAAGTAGACGCTGGGTAACCCACCCCACGACTGTCAATAGCAAAAATCAAGGTTGGCTTCTCCAGGTCCACTAGGGGCAGATTAAGAGTTTTAGCCAGGGTGATATCAGTAAAATTACTGGCTGCCCCGGAATCTACGAAAACCTGGAGCCTCTTCTCAAACTCCTGCCTCCATGAGCGAGTAGCAGTGAGAAAGAACCTGGATGTCCTGAGAGGTACATTTAGGTCCATCACAGATCCCCCCTTTCTGCAACAGGCCCCGCCCTTTTTCCCTGAAGTTTGGGACAACCTATGCAGAGATTGCCGGGCCTCTCGCATGCGAGCAGGTGTGGGAGATAGGAGAGACCCCAGGAACACTCAGAGACAGAGTCTTATAACAAGGGCACACGGACTCCCATTTCTTGCAGAGTTCTTGTAAACGGTTGTCTAATTTCAGAGCCTGTCCAAAGAGATCCTCTAGAGCAGAGGTCTCCAATCTTATCCGCAGAGGGCTGGTGTGGTTCCAGGTTTTCACTCTAACAAAGCAGGAGGTCACCTTTACAACCTTTAAAATGTATTGTTTAATCTAGAACTGCCAGAAATGCTTAGGTGCACCAGTGTTAGCTTAGTACTAGTTTCTATTAGAAATCTCATAGGGGTGCTGGTAGAAGTGCTGGCTGTTATTAAACATTATTTCAAGTCAAGTCAAGTCAAGTCAAGTCAGGCTTTATTGTCATTTCAGCTCTACACAAGTACACAGTGAAGTGAAACAACATTCCTCCAGAACCAACACAGGAACACAAATGCAGAAGAACAGAACACAGGCAGCACACGGTACTGAGAGTATGTGGAGCTGTACAAAGGAGGATGGAACATACTATGACATATTAGCAGATTAGCAGATAGCCTAGCATATATGAGCGTAGCAGTCACTGAGGTAACAGCCAGAACAGCAATGGAATACAGTATTTGGTTGATACAGTAATTCTATCAGCTAACATTGTTAAAGTAAAATGTGCAAAAATGCAAATAGTCAGATCTTCATATTAAACGAAGTGTTTCAGTGAAGTGCAGTAACTGTATTTAAATACAGTATAATTTAGAACTGCAGGAAGTGGGGAGTGAGTTAGTCTCATATTGTTATGTATATGTGTGTGCCTGGGTCCATGTGGGTGTTATGTATGTGTGTGTGTGTGTGTGTGTGTGTTTGGGTCAGTGTGGGTTCCAGATGGCAGAAGAGAGAACAGTTGGTGTGAGGGGTGTGTGTGGTTAGTCACAATGCTAGTGGCTTTACGGATGCAGCGTGTGGTGTAGATGTCTGTGATGCAGGGAAGAGAGACCCTGATGATCTTTTTAGCTGTCCTCCCTATCCACTGAAGGGTCCCAAACCAGGCAGTAATGCAGCTGCGCAGGACATTCTCCATAGTCCCTCTGTAGAAGGTGGTAAGGATGGTGGGTGGGAGATGAGCCTTCCTTAACTTCCTCAGGAAATAGAGACGCTGCTGGGCTTTCTTGGTTATGAAGGTTATGTTCAGGTGCTATTTTCATTTTTTGACTGAGTTTTTTTTGTGGCCCAAACTAATGGCCTAGCTGTGGCAGTCACAGTGAGTCACTGGCAAAATCACCTCTATTAACAAAATATGCCTATAAGCACGTTGATGAATATGTTTCAATGTGGTCGGAAATCTAACATCATTTCATAAAAATAGGAAGTATCATAAGTGTAGCGAGTACTGATACACAGTGAAAACGTGTATTATAGTTTATTGGGTCAACCTTTCAAGTTGTTATAAAAATAAAAGGCATTATGTTCATTGTGCCAAAGAAGAAAAGGATTTTTACCAACATACAGATTGAAGCAAGGGTCTGTCATCACATGAGTTTCCAGACAGTGAAAAATGTTTGGATACTTTTTTATTTATTTTGAGAAGTTTAAATATAACGTACAGACATTTAAAAGTGCTTTGTCTGTCTCTAAGCTTTGGTGTAGAGCCATGATGTGCTGCTTGTATTTTTATTGTTAGCTATGTAGGCTTTAGCCTCCTAACTAGCCAGCTAGCAGAGTAAAGTGAATTGTATCAGCATTTATATATAAGGGGTGGACTAGCTTGTAACCTAAAACCCAGAAAATCAAATGTTACCATTTTGAAATATTCTGCATTTTAAAGTATTTTACTGCTGTGGCTCATAAACAGCTCTGTATGACATTGTTTTCAGGTTCGAAAAGGGAAATGCGTCAGGTTGCAATAACATCTGGGCGAGTTCTGCTGTTGAAGTCGACACTTGGCGTTCAGTTGGTCCTTCAACCCTCCAAAGCTCATCTAATAAAGTTCACTTGACGTTCACTTGCCCTTAAGACGGCGTTGGGGATTCCACCAGAGGGAAATAGCAAGGCCAAGTGGACAAGGTTGTGTTAAAATCTGTATTGAAATGGACAGTAAGTCTTTTTCAGGGACACTCATGGCCGTTTCAACATGACGCCAAGCCACATTCTGTATGTGGTACAACAGCATGACTGCAAACTAGGTAAATTTAGTCTAAATAAGACTAGGTTTAATCCACACCCAGGAAACTAGTCCTAGGACATTAATGTTTTAGAAATGAAGACATTCTGACAGACATTTCTGCCAGCATTTTCTGGTTGGTCACTAAACATTACATGATTGGCTACAACCACTGTGGACTTTCATGAGAACAATGATATGAACAAAGATGACTGAGCTTGTCTTCTAGAACATTTTATTATAAACACCAGCATGAATTATATACTCCACATTGTTCAGTGGGTCACTCAGATTTACCTCAGGTTCTCAGTGAAAGAGAAAAGCTCACCACAGACCCTGAACCACAGCCACAGCACATGTACAGTTACTGTTTGCTTGAAATTAACATGTTGGAAAAAATAAAACAAAATGTGTTAAACTCAGCAAATAGATAGAAATAACATTTGCTTTAAAATGCCATATTAATATGTTCTCTGTAGATGTGTTAACTTATTTTCACTTAGAAAATCTACAAAAATATAATTTCAACATGTCAAACATTTACATACAACTGAATAAATAGACAATGGACATGAATTCACAAGCACACCATGTACATACAAATGCACACACACAGTTACACATGCACTGGAAGTCTATGAAAAATTTAAAGTAAGAAACTATTTCATGGCATTTTTTGTTTTATTTTAACTGAATCGTTTGTTTACTTTTTGAAGATATGGTAAAGGCTTAGTTGTTCATCCATTTATCTTTCATTTTAACTTTCAGTCTTGTCAATTCTACCCCCAGATGAAGGCTTTAATTCCAAAATTCATCACAGACCACTTTTAGGAATGTTCCTTTTTCATGATACACTATATGGTCAAAAGTATGTAGACACCTCTCCTAATTATTGTGTTCATTATCCCATTGTGAAATTTCTGCCCTGCTAGATCCGCTTCAGTCAGCTGTAAGTTTATTGTGAAATAGGAGTGTCTAGAACTGCTGAGTACTGACATGCATAGCACATCAAACATTGCCTCCAGGCTGCCTCTGGAAGCAACAACAGCGCAATAACTGTGCAGCAGGAGCTTCATAAAATGGGTTTCCATGGCTGATCAGCAATGTTTGGGGAGGCAGCAAGCAAGGCAACAGTTTGGGGAAGACCCTTTTCTGTTCCAGTATGACTGAGCCCCAGTGCACAAAGCAGCTCCATAAAGGCATTCCTGGGTGAGTTTGGTGTGGAAGAACTTGACTGGCCCTCACAGAATCCTGACCTCAACCCCACTGAACACTTTTGGGACGAACTGGAACGTCAATTGTGAGCCAGACCCTCTCGACCAGCATCAGTGTCTGACCTCACAAATGCTCTTCTTGATGAATGGGCAAAAAGTCCAACAGACACTCTCCAACATCTTGTGGAAAGCTTCCCAGAAGAGTGGAGGCTGTTACAGCCACAAAGATGGGGCAACTCCATAAAGAAAAGGATGCCCAACAGGCTAATACAGGTGTGATGGTCAGGTGTCCACATACTTTTGGCCATATAGCGTATATAGTGAATACACTAGTGGGAGTGGTCTTTACACATTAAGCGAAATATCAATGCTATATTATGATTAATATCCCCTTCTTTGGTGAAAAACTGTTTTCTGCTATATACTATGTTGTTTTTTTCAAAAACATATATATTATAAATGGATAAACAGAATTTTAGAATGTAACTCTTCAGATGCTCCTTCTGACCTCATATATTGTCGCATTTCCCGCTTTACAGGCCTACTCCGCCCATCCTCTGGCTCACTCCCTTTCACACCTGTGGCTCATTTCACTCTTGTGTTTTGTTTTATTTTGTTTATTAGCCTGTCTGCCCCTTGTTCTGGCACTGCCTGCTGGCTTTACTTCTCTATCTTGGATTTTGCCTGTTGTCATTAAGCCATTTGCATCCAGTCGCTAAATTATACTTGACAAATATGTTCCAGTATCTCGGTTCCTGAAGATTCCCAGTGTACAGTCTTGATCTTTAGTGCGGCCCCAACTTTTCTTTGTAGCACTAATTTTTTGTTTGTGTTTTACAGGTCTGACTCTGCAGAATAGTCATAACTGACTATAATAATAATAATAATAATAATAATAATAATAATAATATACAAATATTACAGCACAATCAGGGACTAAAACATTCATTATTACAAAAATAAGTTATTCAGGCATGTACAAAACGATGAAATAATTATAGGTAAATCCAGTTTAAAAGTTAAAACATTTGTTAAAGTGAAGGAGTTCAAACAGACGTAGATGAGATGCTGTATTATTCTGTATGGATCTTGAAGGCAGTGAGGTCTTCATTCCACACAGCTATGTATTGACCGCTTGGATGGTGGAATAGAGCGGATCACTCTGGGGGATGAAAACAAACATCTACTGTAACACATTACTGTGACATCACTGAAGTTTGGACTGTAAAATGGACTTTAAATACGTGTCCACTGATGTTTCAGAGGTCTGATGACATCATGAAGACAGAAAAGAGAACTGAAACAGCAGAACTCTTTTACACATTCAGAGTTTCATTAGTTTGTTATTTGTAATTAATACAGTAGATAAGAAATGTTGATGTAAGTAAGTGAGACAGGTTATTTACCGGGTTGTTCTCAGTGGACTGAGCTTGTGGTACTAAAGGGGAAGCTGCACTTTGGTTCTTCAAGCCTGATAAATCAGAAAATGATTATGACATTATAAACCAGTGTGAGAAGAAATACATTACAAAACCTATGACACTCTCCACTCACTCACTTTCACTTTCAGCATGATTCTTTAGTGTCTTATTACGCCTGTTTGTGTTTATTTGACTACACTGTAAATGAGTGTTCTCCCTCAGTGTGTGTGTTTACAGGCACTCGATAATCCAATCCGATCATAATTCTATCAATCGTATTTCTGCAGTTATCCGATTATTCAAATGGTCATGTAAACACCATACTCTGATCTAGAAATCTGATTAAGAAATCTGATAAAGAGGCTGGATTTTAGCTCAGTACTCAGATTTCTCAGTGCTGTAAACTCTTATTCTTTCGGATTTATCAGTCTGCACATGTGTGAAAACAGGCGGTGGTGCCACCAGCATTGCCGTGAGACGCATCAAAACACTTTTGGAGAGACGCTGAAACCAAACACGAAATAAAGGATTTAAATATTCTTCATCTTCTAGATGATGTATGTTCATATTTTCAGGTAAAGTGGTGCGATGTATTAAAAAGCAGCAGCATGAAGTTTGATTTTTACATTACGTTTACAAAACATGCTGCTTGACCAGTTGCGTCCAAGCTTTATATTTCATATATACATATACATGTACATATACATATACATGGCTTCAGTTGTTGTTCTTTCTGAAAGTGCTCGGATGAATCGTAGTTTCTATTTAACACTTAAGAGACAGAGTATAAAAAGACAACGTCTCATGTGACCAAAAAGTCCCATTAACATTCTCATTGGTTCTAACACGTTACTGTAGACATGCAGACATGATGTTAAAATACAGCTCTGGACAGTGTGGTCAGGAATCAGTCAGAGACGATAAACGCAGTAAAAGGATGTGGTTCCCCACGCTGCCTGTAGAGGAAGTCTGTTTAGCTGAGTGCTGCGTTATCTTTTTTAAAGAAGCAGGAGATTTTTATCAGCGCTGTAGCGTCAGATAAACAACAGTAGCTGTAGATAAACAGAAACTCAGTAATATTTATACTTAAACTTGATTTTAACCAGCGCTGTAGCGTCAGATAACCAACAGTAGATGTAGATAAACAACAGAAACGTCTGAAGTCTTTACCCAGTTTTATGATGTCTGGATCACCTGCCAGCACATAAATGGCTTCCTGTTCCTTTGGAGGAGAAGATGCTGTGAAAGAGAAGTGAACTCCAGTTTATAATCAACACCATGTCTGTACATAGACTGGCTGTAAAAGGTCTAGAGACACCTTGCTTTGTTTTGAGTAGTATTTATACTTAGATTGGTCTTGATCTCAACAGAATTTGTACTCGGATTGGTCTTGATCTCAACAGCATTTGTACTCAGATTGGTCTTGATCTCAACAGTATTTGTACTCAGATTTGTACTCAGATTGGTCTTGATCTCAACAGTATTTGTACTCAGATTGGTCTTGATCTCAACAGTATTTGTACTCAGATTGGTCTTGATCTGAATAGAATTTGTACTCAGATTGGTCTTGATCTCAACAGTATTTGTACTCAGATTGGTCTTGATCTGAATAGAATTTGTACTCAGATTGGTCTTGATCTCAACAGTATTTGTACTTGGATTGGTCTTGATCTCAACAGTATTTGTACTTGGATTGGTCTTGATCTCAACAGAATTTGTACTCGGATTGGTCTTGATCTCAACAGTATTTGTACTCAGATTGGTCTTGATCTCAACAGAATTTGTACTCGGATTGGTCTTGATCTCAACAGTATTTGTACTCAGATTGGTCTTGATCTCAACAGTATTTGTACTCAGATTGGTCTTGATCTCAATAGTATTTGTACTCAGATTGGTCTTGATCTCAACAGTATTTGTACTCAGATTGGTCTTGATCTCAATAGTATTTGTACTCAGATTGGTCTTGATCTCAACAGTATTTGTACTCAGATTGGTCTTGATCTCAATAGTATTTGTACTTGGATTGGTCTTGATCTGAATAGAATTTGTACTCGGATTGGTCTTGAATGCAATAATATCTGCACTTAGACTTGTGTTTGTCATGAAATTTGAATTGATTTGATCTCAACTAAACATATGGTTGGACTTTTGTTGGACTAGATGGAGGTTGTTGTCGAGTTATAATGAATATATTACTATTATAATCAATAAGAAATCAATAATCATATACTAAAAAGTTGATTAACAAAAGTGTATTAATCCTCTCACTAAAGATAGGCCTTGCTATGTGTAGGTTAGGGGATTTCGCAATGGAGAGTCCTTAAAGTTCAGAAGTCTCTAGAAGCCAGTGTACTTTGTTGCAAGGACAGGCTGGCCTGTGAGAGGGGAGGTAAGCTGATAGGGAACATTTGGCTGTCTGGGAGCCATATTGCCACCTGAAGCTCAATAAATGAAGAGGGCCTTTTCCTTCCTTCCAAAAGAACTCAACAGCTGAAGTCTTTTATTCAACTTTCTTATTTTGACTGAACTTTATTTTATTTTGCGTTTATGACGAGAACAAGCAATCAGATTTATTAAAGAACCGAAACGTAGTTATAGAACAGATTAGTATAATTTTATCCATATGTTGGGGCTCTGGAATCGCACTTAGTCCCGACATTGTTTTGACTACAACCCTATTAAAAGCAGACATTAATACATTTTTGCCCCCAAAGATGGTTTAAACATTTAAACGGTTTTTATGTGCTGATGATCACAACAAGGAGATGAAATGGTTGGCCCTTTCCATTATCACCCAGTTAGCACTGTCAGTAATTTTGGCACAAATGTTTTTTTTCCTTTGGCTTTAAGAAAACAAGCTCATCTGTTATAAAAAGGTAGTTATCCTCAGATATTTAACAGGTCATGTACACCAGCTAAAGTGTTTCACTGCATGAGTCAAACTCTGTTAAGGCTCACCAGGCTGTGTGGTTGCTGCCGCGTCATTTACGATCTCGTAGTCATGATCAGTCTTGGTGGCTCTGGCAGCTGAGCACAGTAAGACAAGACAGTTCAGTACAGGATGATGTATCAAATGAAATTCATTGCTGGTATGTTGAAGATGTTGGAAAGTAGCCTTTCATTTTATAAAGATAGTCTCTCACCTTTCCTTTTGAAACAGCATCTCAGTAGAAACAGAGCCAAAACTATCAGCAGCACCCCGACCAGCACAGCAGTCACAAGAGAAGTGGTCTGAATTTCTGGATCTAGAATATAAGATCTAAAAATGAGTAAGAGATTCTGTGCTGTGCAAACTGGAGGATTTTCCACTAGAGCTCTAATGCTCTAGTGCTGTTGTGTTAGGGATGTGCTTACAAAGGGTAACTACATAGCTAATTTTAGGATTTGCTAGATTATTTGTACCACCTGGAGAAACGTTTCAACATTTTAATGATTCCATGATTAAAATCTTAAACAAAATTTGGCGTCGTATATTATTATTATAGGCTTTAATAGTAGGATACAGTACTAATTTATTATTAGAATATACTGAATGAAAATTTAACATTTCCATGCCTGGAAAAAACATGAGTTTACTTAGTAAACCCGTTTTGTATCATGTTGCACCTTTTTTTGCCCTTTAGAAAAGAATTAATTCTGCATTGTGCAGGAATGTTTTACTGTGTATCCAAGATCAGTCAACTACACTTTTGAATGACTGGTAAACATTTACAGTAACAAAGCCTCTAGCTCTAGTCTAGGGGCAGTCTAGGCTGGAGGTTAGGGACCCAGCCCTGTGACTGGAAGGTCGCCGGTTCGATCCCCTCAGCTGACAGTACGTGATTGAAGTGCCCTTGAGCAAGGCACCCAACCCCCAACTGCTCCCCAGGCGCCGTGGATAGGGCTGCCCCCCACTCCGGGCATGTGTGCTCACTGCCCCCTAGTGTGTGTGTTCACTAGTGTGTATGTGGGTGTTTCACTGCACGGATGGGTTAAATGCGGAGGTCTAATTCCTCTGTGTGCAAACACAGTAGGTTAATGGTTCTGACTTCTAGCTGATTATTCAACTCATGTTCAGACGAAGGTGAAGTTTTGTTCTCAGCGAACAAATGAAAAATGACAAAATGAAGATACAAGGTTTGTCAGCAGAGATGGGGCTGTTGCTCAGTCATTAGCTTAGCAGCAGTTTAATGTTAGTTTAACGCAGGTTTGGCTAAACTTCACCGGTTTAACACGCAGCTGCATGTTAAATTGCAACTGCTCCAGTATGTTTAGGTGTATACAGTAAATCAGTCTGCTGTACAGAGGTGGGTATACGCCGTATACCTGCTTATCTGCATGACACTAATGCTTTTTTACTCTGTATGGCAGAAGACTCACACCATCCATCACAGATTTAGGATGTGGATGTTACTAAATAGGTAGAGACCAGAAATGATGCCACACGGATCAGTGGCTGTTACAGGAACAGAAACAAATACCTTTTGAGGAAGAGCTTGGACTTATCTCTGTAGAGAGAGAGGAAATAAAAGTGTAGGTGAGAAAGAGAGCATGAAAGATCAGTAAACCTCTGCAGAATGTACATCCTGAATCTGATTGATCAATCACCCATCAATCATGTGCACAGAATTAAATTATGATCAGAGGTACAGTAATAGCACATAAGCAAAAAGCAAATCAGTTGATACTAGAAAACTGTAGAAAATGTACTACTTGGTTATTTAAGCACACAAACAGGTGACGGCAGCGGCTCTGAGGGGAGCGTGTTCTGTAATTTCACTGTTACCTGTTGTTGTAGGTGAAGTTGTGCTGGCTGGAGGAGAAAAGCAAAATCATATATTAGAGAATATGTTTTAAAAACCATCTGAATGTTTCATGTTTAGACACTATAGATAGTAATACTTCCTGTTTCATATCCATTAACTGACTCTGAGGAAGTATAGAGAACACATTTTCTGGGCTGACGTAATCAGGAGTCGTCACAGTGATCAGAACAGCTGATTTGGACAAAAGAGCATTAGAGCCTCAGGGAACACATATGCTTGAAGGAAGATCAGTGGTTTCTCCTACTCCCCATTTTTAATACAGTAATAAAAACATGAAAACTACCTTCCATCAGTTCATTTACACTTACAGCTCACATTAACAGCCTTTTCAAGCCTAACCTAACATAGCATTGTACGTCACACACAGTCTGTGCCTCTCACTCACTGTACACAATGCAGTGTCTTTCATTTCAACACTACCCGTATTTTAAAATAGGTCAACTAAAACTGTGTAGCCACTCACTCAAAGAAGTGTCCATGTCTTTTTTAAATGATTGATCAACTGGCATGAAACTGAACAACAATGAGTGGATGAAATGACTTGAGGAAGGGATTTATGGTGAAGTGCTGCTCAGTGAGAGGCCCCTTCTGCCCCGGGACCTGTGGACGCCTCTCCAAAAGACCCTCTTCACCTGCAAAGCTCAGAATCAGCATGAAGCCGCGAATGCACTGCTGGACTGACCTGACTTTCTGCCTCTTAATGAGCCACTTTGCTTTCCTCACCAATGGACTGTGACCAACCCACAGAGGGCAGCAACATCGTCTTCACTCGTGTTGTTTAATTTATCGTATTTATTGTATTGTTTCTAGATTAATTTTTGTTTGCACACTTTTGTCTGCACGTTCACACTTTGTACTTTTTGTTCCATGTTGCACCGTGTTGTTCCTGGAGGAACGTAATTTCACTCCACTGTGTACGTAGATGGAATGACAATAAAAGCCTCTTGACTTGACTTGAACTCCACAGTTTGACAATCGACTGGTACGATTCCCCTTTTGAGTCAATATCTCTAGCTTCTCTAAACAATACATTCTGGAAAGCCTAATCAAGACTGTAATGATCAACACTTCCTCTAGTTAAGTACGGTACCTCAGGGTGTGTTTAATTAAGCAACATAGCATTGAATTAAAACACAAACGTCCACAAATCATCTTGACAGAAGGTGTATGGGTCTAGGTATAAGATATTCAAACATCAGGGAGGAAAATGTGTTTCAACTACAATAATCTTGCCTTAAACCTCCGTGAAACTGTGTCTTTGGCAGGTGTGAGGTAGACTCCAGTTAATGACACAGTAATTCATCAATTAACTAAGGTTAACCTCTACACCACAGCTAAGCTAATGACTCAGCAATTGCCCCAATTTGTCTAGGTGTGTATTCAGTAAATCAGTCTACTCAGAGGTAGATATATACAGTATACCTGCTTACATTCATGACACTAATGCTTTTGTTCTCTCTACAGAAGAAACTCACATCATCCAACACAGATTTAGGATTTGGGTGTTACTAAATAGGTAGAGACCAGAAATGATGTCAAACATAACAGAAACAAATAGCGTTTGTGGAAGAGCTTGGTTGAAAAAGAGAACGTAAAATCATCGGTGAGAAAGAGAGCATGGAAGATCAGTAAAACTGTGCAGAATGTACATCCTGAATCTGATACATCAATCATCCATAGTCAGTGCTGAAATATGTATTTAAATGACTCTGAACAGAGATACAGGAATTGCACATAAGCTGAAAGCAAACCAGGTAAAACTGTAGAAAATGTACTACTTGATTATTTAAGCACACAAACAGGTGACGGCAGCGGCTCTGAGGGGAGCGTGTTCTGTAATTTCACTGTTACCTGTTGTCGTAAGTGAAGCTGCGCTGGCTGAAGGAGAAAAGCAAAATCATTTATTAGAGAATATGTTTTAAAAACCATCTGGGTGTTTCATGTTTAGACACAACATTGATTGTTACTTGTGCTTCCAGTTTCATATCCATTTGTTATTAATTATTATTATTATTATTATTATTAAGTGACCCTTATTAGTCCCACAAGGGAGAAATTTCACCTCCCCATTTTGACCCATCCGTGCAGTGAAACACCACATACACACTAGTGAACACACACACTAGGGAGCAGTGAGCACACTTGCCCGGAGCAGTGGGCAGCCCTATCCACAGCACCCGGGCAGCAGTTGGGGGTTAGGTGTCTTGCTCAAAGGGCACTTCAGTCACGTACTGTCGGCTCAGTGGATCAAACCCGCGACCATCCGGTCACAGGGCTGGTTCCCTTAACCTCCAGCCCATGACTGCCCCCATTTACTGACTATGACTAAGAATAGAGAACACATTTTCAGTGTTGACGTAATCAGGAATCGTGACAGTGATCAGAGCAGCTGATCCAGACAAAAGAACATTAGAGCCTCAAGGGACATATATGCTTGAAGGAAGATCAGTGGTTTCTCCTGCCCCCCCTGCATCGTATTTTTTATGTTTTATGCCGTGATCGAGAACCTCTCGACATGTTAGATCTAAAATCAATGTTATTTCTTCGAACAGTAATCTCCACAGCAGTTACCAACCGCATTTACAGTACCAGACATGATGTTATCACTCATCACTACAGCATCAGCACTGCTGACAGTAATATGTTACTAAGTTAGATGAGCAGTTCTCATTGTGGAGCTGCAGCTGACAGCGCTGCCTTTTCATACTATCTTTACCATTTATCTAATACATATTAAGATAATCCCTGAGGATTATAAAGTCCGATTTACAGTTTTATTAATTTCACTGGTTATCGTTGTTTAATATATGCACTCACTAAGCTGTCACTGGGGCAGTACCTTCAAGGGTGCATCATCAGGATCTTTAGTTAGGGAACAGAGCTCTATTATATTCTGTTGCAGTCATATTTTTAAGTTGCTTTCGCTTCATATACCCTGTGTTTTTATTATTATTATTTTTTGTATTATTATTTTTTTGTTTGTTTTACAGCAGTCATTTTATTACAGTGGAGGACCTTATATGATGTAATTTTTTTTTTTTCAGTCAGTGATCAAAACCCAAGCATGTTCCAGAAACAACTACTGTGTCTGAGATCATCTGGCCCCAAAACCTCCAAATTTTACATTAAAACAAAACTTCAGTTACTTAATATTTTTATATTATTTCATGCTACAAACACCCACACGGGGTTCCCACTCACTTTTACTATCACACCTTCTTTCTACACTACTCATAAATCCACAGTTGAATTAGCAAATCTACAGATTACATTACTACTATTTTCCATGCACATTCTAAATGTTCATATTTCTATATGTTCATATTTCTTGGTGAGGTTATTTATATAATACTGCATAGTGATTCTACTTGGCCATGTTGACTTAATTTATGTGTAGCAAATTGCTAGTGTTTAACCTATTGGTGCCTAATATGCTCAGATTCTAAGGTTTATTAAGAATTAAGTAATAACAGTATAAACTGATTGAGTTATTAATAGGTTATGAGAGTGTAAAATGTAAGTGTAAAATGACCCAAACAACTTTAGAGTCACTGAGATGAATGAATCAGACTGACTCATTAACACATTAGTGTTCAGAGCTCTGAGCTGTGTTGACCACTGACATTTACACTGCCTTTACATTTAGCTTTACAGAACAGGTGTTTGCTTTTACTAAGGCAACAACAACAATAATAATAATAATAATAATAACATGAGGCACTAGAAAGTAGGCTTTGTTTGTCTGATTATCATCACTACAGTAATGCTAATTTGTGCTAGCATTCTACTGGATATGCAGTGTTAAGTTAGCGCTAAGCTAACAGTGGTGTACAAATAGAGGTGTAAACACTACTAGTGACACCACTAGTTTAAGTTCTGACATTTAAAGCTTATAATGTGCTTTACTTTGTATATTGCAGTGTCTCAGTAAATCCTTCAGTAAATACTTCAACTTAAAGCCTCACTCTTAACACTGGAGGGGCTTTTAGTATAAAACATGCCTCACTTTACTCAGAGCTGACAAATACAACTTATAAGCTCTTATAATGCTGTTATAATATACATCTATCCCAACAATGTCTAACAATCCATTTCCCTAATGGCAAATAAGTTCTGTGTGTTTGTGACTCTAAATTTCAAGCTGCATGTGGTTTACTGTGGCTTTCTGTGGTCTTGAAATGGCTTTAATTTAATGTGGTAATGACAGGGAACAGAGTCAGCAAGTGTCACTGTGTGAACTGTAAATGCCAGCGCCGGTGTGCGAACCTTCCTTAAGACCTTATGACTTGATCGTAAGCTCTTAGTTGATTGAAACAAGGCCCAGGCTGATACTGGCTGGACTATTTGAGATATATATTTTACAGTACTCTCTGCAGTACCACACGGCATTTGTCAAAACTTGCATTACTATTACAGCTAAAGAGTAAAGTGGCCTCTTACTATCTTGAGTAGGTTGGGCAGTGTGTATTTAAAAAGGATGGAAAGCCATTCCTGTATGAACTTTGCTGAGTCATGAAGCGGTTTATCATGTCATATTCCGCTCAAACAATGCTGATAGCAATGTAAACGCGTCTACACATGGCCTAGACTTTTAACAATTGTTGCTGCCGTTTCCGCACAGGTACTCAAATATTTATTCTCAATACATGCGACACTGCCTTTAGATTTGGTCTGGTCGAAATAAGGCACCTTAGTGGACAGCTGACTTATGTTGCCTTCCGAATAGGACAGCCTTCATCTCAGGAGCGCAGAAATGCTGCCTTAAAATGGTGCCTACTTAGACAGCTGCCTCCCGATTGGACTGTACTATATATTTAAGACATTTCTGAGAATGTTTCAGAGGTTTCTGGGTAAGCTGTAGCTCATTCAGTACATGCACTCTAGTGGAAAAGTGAAGTCTTACTCGGTTTTTGGGTAGATGTAGATGTAGATGTGCTAGATGTGGATATTGGTGTAGTTCCTTTGGTTGTTGACTCTGTAACACAGAAAAGACAGAAGGCTGTAATGATGATCTCTTTGATTTCAGTTCTAAACTCTACTGCACAACGCAGAAGAACACAAATGAAATGTTTAAACTAACCAGTCTGTGCATTGACTAAGAGTCAGAGCAGCAAAAAGGTTTGTTTTTTATGCCGTGTGGAAAGGTTTCCATCCCAACTCTGTACATCAGCCCCAATGAACAGCAGTAAAAGAAACTAGAAAAGAATTAAATTTACCACATATATCTACACTTGGATCTGTCACAGGGGTGAGCAGTTCTGATCCTGGAGACCTGCCACCCTAGAGAGTTTAGCTCTAACATACACTATATGGTCAAAAGTATGTGGACACTCCTCCTGTTTACTGAGTTCAGGTGTTTCAGCCAAACTCATTGCTAACAGGTGCATAAAATTAAGCACATAGCTTTGCAGTCTCGATAGACAAACACTGGCAGTAGAGGGTCGTACTGATGAGGTCAGTGAACATAGGATGACGCCTCTGCCACAAGTCAGTCTGTGACATTTCTGTCCTGCTAGATCTGCCCCTGTCAACTGTAAGTGCTATTATTGTGAAATGGAAGCATCTAGGAGCTTTATAGAAAAAGCAGTGGAGGAAATGCTGACTGTTTCTCAGCCTTTCAGTGCACAAAAAATGTGCTTGCAGTTCTGATGTAAGTAGCTGTTAGTAGTTCATTTCTTTTTATTGTGCACAATAGTAAATAATGTTTTTGTTATTTTTTATTTTGCTATTTGTTTAAAGGGGAGATCAGTTAGATTTCTGTTTACACATGCAAAAAAGTCTGGTCTTGCCTCACATCCAGTCAGAGGCACTTCTCATATCGACACAGTGATATCCAACAGCTTTATGAAACATTTTACGTCAATATCATGCAGCCCTCACATACATTACACTTGTGTAATTATATCAGATCTGCGTACAGAATACCAGAATATTAGAATAACTTTGTCTATAATAGTATTTTACAGTGCCCTGCACAAATATTGGCACCCCGGGTAATCATGAGCACAAACTTTAACAAATATTACTGTAATAAATATTCCTCTCAGGAAATGTACTCAAGTGATTTGAAACATATCTGAAAGGAAGAAAATATTTAGTTAGTCTAGGAAAACATCACTCTGAAGAGTATATTTTTTTGTGGTGTACCACAGAGCTCCATACTAGGCCATTTTATTTTCATTATATATGTTACTACTAGAACACATTATTAAAGAATATAGAGTCAGTTTTCTTGATTTTGCAGATGACACATTTTTTTTTTTTAATTTGTAGAACCAAATTATACTATTTGCCTGAATAAACAGGCAATAAACAAGATACATTAGAAATCCTCATTATTGGACATGAATCACAGAGAATCACTAGCCTGGGAAATCTGGCTTTACAAACAAAAGATACAATTTGGGAGTAATATTTAACTGAACATTATCATTTAAATCACATCCTGAGCAAATTACAAAAACAGTCTTTTTCATTTAAGAAACACAGCACAAGTCAGGCCTTTCCTCGCGCTGCATGATACTGAGAAACTGACACATGCTCACACACGGCTTAGTCTTTAGTGGTTTACCAAAAACCACAGTAGACCAACTGCAACTCGTTCAGGATGCTGCAGCTACAGTAACAACACGTACAAGAAGGACAGAACATACTACACCGTTTAGCTTCACTGCACTGGCTGCCTGTTTCTTCTAGAACTCATTTGCCCCTACAACAGCTACTTCTACTTTTCTGGGAAGCTTTCGACAAAATTTTGGAGAGTGTCTGTGGGAATTTGTGATCATTCAGTCAGAAGAGCGTTTGTGAGGTCAGACACTGATGTTGGCCTGACTCTCAATCTCTGTTCTAGTTTATCCCAACGGTGTTCAGTAGGTTTGAGGTCAAGGCTCTGTGCTGCCCACTGGAGTTCCTCCACACCAAACTTGTCAAGCCATGTCTTTATGGAGCTGTTTGTGCACAGGGGCTCGGTTGTGCTGGAACAGGGACGAGTCTTCCCCAAAGTACTGCTGCAAAGTTGAAAGCATACAATTGTAAAAAATGTCTCATTGCCTAGTGTTCTCTTTTCCCTCCACCACTTGTTTGCTCTCTCTCTTTCTCTCTATAGGTGGAGTGAGCTGTCAGTCATCATCAAGAGTGTTGTTAGCCAACCAATCCAACACATTTTGCATTTACATCACCCTTCACTGGAACTAAGGGGCCCAAACCCCGAAAAACAGCCCAGCCCATCATCCCTCCTCCACCAAACTCTACTGTTGGCAGTATGCACTGCGGTAGGTAGCGTCTCCTGACATCCACCAAACCCAAATTCATCCATCAGCCTGCAATATAGTGAAGTGTGATTCATCTCTCCAAAGAACATGTTTCCACAGCTCCAGTGGCGGCGTGACTTACTCCACTCCAGCCGACGCTTGGCATTGTGCATTTTGATCTTAGGCTTGTTTGCAGCTGCCCAGCCACGGAAACCCATTTTAGGAAGCTTTAAATGCACAATTCTTGTGCTGTTGTTGCACCGAGACATTTTGAAACTCTTTAGTGAGTCATGCAACACAGCAGAGGCAGTTTTTAAGCCCAACGGTGATTCAGCACCCAGCAGCCCCTCTCTGTGAGTTTGTGTGGTCTGTCGCTACATAGCTGAGCTGCTGTTGCTCTGAGACACTTTCATTTCACAATAATAGCACTTACAGTTGACCAGGGTAGAGTGAAAATTTCACAAATTGAGAGGACCACTGAGCTCTTCAGTACAACCCATCTATTTTCCCGAGGTCCATTTTAGTCATTAACAGCTTTAATTTATCTTTTTCTTTTTGGGAGTAATTGCATTGTGTGGTGTTGATTCAGCTCCTGGACTGCTTTACTGTCGATCACACTTTTATTTTAGACAAAAAAAGGATCTAAACAGAGAAGAATAGATTATAACATGATTCATTTCCTTTGCTGATAGATGCTGAATGGACTAAGACGTTCCACTGCAGTTCTAAAGGAGAACAGGGACTTTTTCGACTTCATACTGTTTCCCCACGAGTTGGCTTCTGGTAGACACTTATTGAAGTAACAACACTTTTCAGTTTAAAAGCTGACCACCTGCACTACTGTCTCTACAAATGAAACCACAGCTGAAGTTCCTGTTGCAGAATGCATGTTTTAAACACTGTCTGTTCACAGACAGCACAATATGTGAGAATGTTTATGCAGCTTTTCGTGTAAGCCCTAGTAGCCATTCTACTGCCAGCATAGAAATCAGGAGGATCAGTGGCAAAGCTCTAATCTGCTAAACAGATTTTCTCAGGTTAAATATCTGAACAGCCTAATTTGTAAACAGAGCTGAACTCTCTGCTGTGACAGAATAGCAGTTAAATCAGTCAGTCATCCATCATAGAGCTGAACAGAAACTTGTTGCTGTCTGAGAGCAGCAGGATGCTTTGGTTGTGGTCACTTGGTGGTTTAAACTGCTCTGAGTCTGTTTTCATTTTTTCTAGCTAGTGTTCCAGAGCCTACTGCTGTACCTGAGGGTTGTCTACCACCCAACACCTCTGGCTCTTACACCTTTGTTAAAGGTTCAGTAGAGTTGGGGGTAGATAACCTACTGAATTAGTTCACACTGAGGTGGCGAGAGAGTGAGATATTTACAAAAATTATAAACTACTTAATTCTAAGGCATTAATAGCGATAGCAATAAGCTAAATATATACAAAATCATTATTTTTAAGGTACTTTCTATTGGGAGGTGTCTGTCCTAAACCCTAACCTCTAAATTTACACTTCTCAAAATAATACTTTATCATGAGTTTATTTTTTGGATAAAAACTCAATACAGGGCCTCCCGAGTGGGGCAACCACTTAAGTGTTGGCCCTGTCATCAAGAGATCAGGAGTTCGCTCCGTGGTGATGCTACAGCCGTCCGTAGCCGGGAGTCCAAGAGAACACAATTGGCCTCGCTCTCTCTGGGTGGGTAGGATGGCCCCCTTTTCTCCCCCCATCACCCAGTGCCAGACACCTCTCTCTGTTTTCCCTCTCTCTCTATCTCTCTGTTTTACTCTCGCTATCTGTTCTCCTTCTCTTTCTCTTTCCCTCTCTCTCTATTATCTCTGCAGATAGACAGGCAGATGCAGCAGATGGAGATGAGGTTGAAAATGCCAGACTGTTCCTTGAATTTCTGAAAAAAAATATACATTTTCAGTGCCTCCATCTATTGACAGCTGAAGAACAATTTAACAGGGTTTTGGCACTGTTTGTGTTTCCTATGACCTCTAATTATTACTTCTTCTCGAAAGTATATCTAGATTAAAAACTCACTTTGTAAACAGGATTTAGAGAAGTTTATGCCTTTTCTCCAGCAGACTGGACTACTGTAGAGGGCTGCTCAGTGGACCCCACCCAAAAAAACAACATATTCAAAATGCACTGCTTAGCAGGGCAAAGAGAGCTGAGCGTATTACTCCAGTATTAAGAGGCTCACATTGGCTCCCAGTTAGTTATAGAACTAGAAGATCTTAAAGAGCTGCTCCTTCTCCGAACACCAGACTCTCTGATCTACTGGAAGAATACAAATCTAACAGGCCTGTCAGATCAAGACTGGTCAGCTAGCAAAGCTTGGAAAGCAGAGCATGGTGAGGCAGCATTTAGCTCTTATGTTGCCCAAAGCTGGAACAAGCTGCCTGAGGGTCTCAGATATGCCTTGATTTTGTTCAGGCACTGTGTAAACGTCTCCGTAAATCTGCAGGCCAGCCTGGTCTGACCATAATAAAAGTGTCCACAGTGTGAGGTGGTCTACTTACTTGTCTGAGCTGTATGTATGGAGTTGTAGAGCAGCAGACACATTAAAAAGAGAAGCTTCATGGTCTTCTGTCTGCACAGAGTTCAGTGAAAGCTAAGTCTCTGTTTGGTTTTGATGAGCCAACAAAAGGAACTGCCGTCTGTCTGCTGTCGCACTTTCACAGAAGATTAAAAACCCTGTTCCTTCCGCCTCAAACAATTTCCTTCTTTCACAATTCACATGCACGTCAGTACAGAAGTGCAAGCTTGAAATCAGCAGAAGCGCCAGTCTGAAATGAACTTTTTACTTTTTTACTGTCTGTGTAGATGGTAGATGGTTCATCTGTTTGGCCTTATGATATATTCTAGGTTCATGTGGATTTCTGTTAGAACCAGAAATCAGTGCTGGGCCCCCCTTTACCAGTGTCTCCACTTCAAATGCTGCTTTCATGACGAACAGTTCCTTATTTCTTATGTCATAATCATGCTCAGTATCAGTTTGTTTCCTTGTATAAAGGCCACAAGGGTGCAACCTGGGTGGATTGCCCACACCCTGGGACAGTATAGCTCCTATGCCAGACTCCAAGGCATCCACCCCACCCACAAACAGAGTGAGGTAAACTGGGCTTTCAATTCCCACTTGTCATATCCCTGAGCACTTCATTAATCTTCCACTTATCCCCTTTTCTGACTCTAATGAGATTATATGCATACTGGAGGTCTAGTTTAGTGAAAATAGCAGATCCTCTAATTAGTTCTAAGGCTGCAGGCTTCAAGGGACGACACACTCCCCCACAACTTCCTCCAGCTCATTCCTGGGGACCCCAAGCCTCTCCCAGGCCATCTTGGAGATATAATCCCTCCAGCAGGTCCTAGGACGACCCCGGGGTCTTGTCCCGGTCGGCCGTGCCTGGTACACCCCCACCGGGAGGTGTCCAGGGGGCATCCGGATCAGATGCCCGAACTACCTGAACTGGCTCCTCTCAATGTGGAGGAGTAGTGGCTCTACTTCAAGCTCCTCCCGGATGACCGAGCTCCTCACCCTACCAAGTACAGTGTAGCCCACCACCCTGCGAAGAAAGCTCATTTCCGCTGCTTGTATTTGTGATCTCATTCTTTCGGTCATTACCCACAGCTCATGACCGCAGGTGAGGGTCGGGATGTAGACCGATCGGTAAAAACAGAGAGCTTTGCCTTATGGCTCAGCTCCCTCTTCACCACTACAATCCAGTACAGTGACTGCATTACTGCTGCTGCCTGTCCCAGCCTGCGACCGAACACACAATCCCTCTTCCCATCACTCGTGAACAAGACCCCAAGATAGTTAAATTCCTTCACCTAGGGCAAGTCCTTTCCCCTTACCTGGAGTGGGCATGCCATCCTTTTCTGGGCTAGGACCATGGTGAGCGCTTGAGGCATCTATGCAATTCAGCCAAAGGAACAACATTGTCTGCAAATAGCAGAGACGCCACCCTCCGGCCTCCACACATAATGCCCTCCTGACCCCGGCTACGCCCTAACACCCTGTCCAATATCATGAACAGGTGTGGAGACAGGGCACAACCCTGGCAGAGTCCAGCACTAACACTGAAAGAGCCTGACTTAATGCCGAGTATACGAACACAGCTCTCACTCCGGGAGTACAGAGATTGAATGGCTCGGAGTAGTAGCCCCAGCACCCCATACTCATAGAAGTTTTGGCCATAACTGGATCTTAAAATTCAAATTATATTTAAGTGAATGCTACATGAGAGATTGACTTGAGAGACTGAGTGTTTTTTTTTGGATAAAATTGCCAATGAGTATAGGTAAGTGCCTAATTATGTATTTTGTGGATTTTTTAAAACGTAAAGTAGTGCTGCTGCTGCTGGTTTCTCTGCCGCAGTGAAGAAACAGCAGGTAGACATGTTTATATGAGGATCATGGATTTTAAAATGTGATGAGTTTTAAACGTACATAAAACTTGATTGTGCTCATGCCTTGAACTCCACACGTGAGTGAATTTTCACCATTTTTCTTTGTTTATTTGCTGTATTTTCTTCTTTTGCACTCTGTTGTCATTGGTTGTTGGAGGAATCTGTTCAGATTGAGTTATTGAAAAGTTAACACTAGATTTCGCTTAGTCATGACAAAAAAAAATCAAACATGTTTTAAACTCTGACTGGTCTGAGACCACAAATCTGAATCTGTGCCCCTCACACAGGACTCAATTCTCTCTCCACAGTTTCCATTCTCTGAAATGTCATTAAAAAGTGGCAGTTAAAGGGAACTATGAAGGTCAAGGCATTATCTGAAAGGCTAAGTAAACTATCAGACAGAACTGCTTGTATGCTGACCAGAAAGGCAAAGCAAAACCCCCACATGACAGCAAAGGACCTTTAGGAAGGATTTGTTGATAAAAGAGTGGCAATGCAGCGTTCTGCCATGCAGTGTTATTGAACAAAAATGGTCTGCATGGAACAGTCATGAAAAAAAACAACAACTAGATCAGCCAGAGGCATCTTGGAGTTCTGTTCTTGGCATCTTGGAGTTCTAAGTTCTGTTGACTGGTGAAGTAAAAATTAAACTCTTTGGCCGCAATCACTACAGGCATGTTTGGAGACAAAAAAGGAGCAGTATTTGATGAAGAGAACACCTTGACAACTGTTAAACCCGGGGTGGATCTATTATGCTTTGGGGTTGCATGGCAGTCAGTGACCCAGGAAACACTGCACAGGTAGACAGAAGAATGAATTCCACACCTTTAACTTCTTCAAAAAACAAAAGTTGAATTAAAAGCCACAAAAAAACATTTGCAAGCTGTGACGTCTGCTACAGGAGAGGTGTTACTAGGCCTGACTTAGTAGATCAACCAAACATTTGCACAATTACTGTTTTATTTATTTCTACTTTTTAATGCAATCAGATATAAAATAACTTTGCATTACATTTGCAGAAAAAAAATGTTTGAAATAATAAATCGCATCATTTCTGAAGATGTTTTGTTTAATTCTTTTTGCCTCAATGTTATTTGGCCAGGGTTGCCCAACTTTTGCATGCAACTGTATTTCTTGGTCTTGTACTGTTTGGTCCTGTAAACACTTGTGCAGAGCCCATCCTGAATGCTGCACAAAGGCTCTGGAAGAACAGTTTCATTGCACTGCATGCTTCACATGGGCTGACAAAGGTCTTCTTGACTTGACGTGATGAGCTGACTCTGGTGGGTTAGAGCTGGGGAACATGCAGAGGGTGGAGTTCCCCGGACTATGTTAACTACTAAAGAAGGTGTTAACCACAAATAGAAACCTGTGTGTCACAGCTTAACCCTCTCACGCTAAACAGAAACGACTAAGATTTGACCTTTTGCTCTGTCAGTATTACTGACTACAGAACAGAAGAACACAAAAAGCAGCATGAGCTCACTTATCTGATGAACAATTGAACAGGTAACCAAAACAGAGCAAGTGAGCACAAAGCTCAAACAGTTAATGCACACATTATCAGTCATGAACTCAGAATAACTTCAATCCTTTAAGTCAGGGGTGTCCAGTCTTATCCACAAAGGGCCGGTGGGGCGACTGCAGGTTTTCACTCCAACAAAGCAGGAGGTCAGCTGATCAAATGTTTAAAGACCAAGACTGACTGATTAATCAAGTAGAATCAGTTGAGCTCCAGCTTGTTTGGAGTGAAAACCTGCAGCCCTTTGTGGATAAGATGGGACACCCCTGCTTTAAGCAATAGTGCACCCCTAACCCCAGCACCCCACCTCAAATTCATTGATCAGCTAGATATATTTACTGCCTAAAGCTTTCTTCTTTAATTGTATCATTGGGCAGGGCTGAAAGTAAAGGCCACAAGGCTAATGTAGCTAACAAGTAAAGGAAGTGTATGGCCTCAAATTAGCATGGTGCTAACTGCCTGCTTAAATAATCACACTTGCATCAAACTGTGAAGTTGTTAATCTTTAATAGCCTTGATTTTGTGGTCTCTGACGCTGTATAACCCACATCCCCAGTTGACACGACTGACTCGCATGTGTAGATTAAAAAAAACTGGCTGATTTTTAAAGTCACATGGCTCAGAGGATCTCACATTAGACGTGATCTCATAAGAATCCCTCTTTTTTCTAGTTTATATTGAAGGAATGATTGAAAACATGGACAAAAACTTTGTACCTGTTTAGATCATTTAAAAATTAAAATAAGTAAATATAGAAAACATCACTTAAAACAAAAAGAAAATGCAAAGAATATAAAAAAGCGAAGCCAAAATATTTTCACTCAATTCCACTAATTAGCTGATGAGATGAGTCTGGTGTGGTATCTACACCAGGCCTGGGTAATAGGGCGATGTAATCCTAACCCTAACTATCAATGATTGACAAATACTAACCATTATATTATGATAATATTATTATAATGTATAAACAATTTTTTTTCACTTCAAAGGGAATTCCACTGATTTTTCCAAATGTCTGCATGATTAAAAGGTTTCGATATAAAGTTCATTCAGAGTGGTTTGGTGTGATATTCTCTGTTCTAGAGTCAGAATTGTTCACAGTGGTGGTGATAGGAACCAGACGTCCACCTATAAAAGCTCCGTTATAAATATGTCTGAGACACTGTTTTATGATAGTTTTGAGAAGATTTGGGTTTTATTTTTTAGTTCATTCATGGTGGAGGCATACATGCAGGGTGTTGTGAGGCAAAGTAGTCCCCAAGGAAAAGTTTTATTTTTTCAGATTTTCTACTATTTTATCATCAACATTCCACACAGCACCCCAGAATAAATAAAATCAAATAAACCCATTTATAATCAAATTGTTGTGAGACAGCTGAGGAGAGTAATGATGAAATGATCTGTACTGTGTAGGTATTTCTCTCTGTAACTATTTACTGTTTCACTCTGTACATGGTTTATTTAAAAAAAAAGCCTAATGTTTGAACTTTTAGACAAAATTCTGTTACATCTTCAGAGGTTGCCAACCATCTTTAGTGTTTAGAGAAAGATCCACCAGAGCGACTGCCCCAGCTCTGATATAACTGGCTTAGATATAAGCTCTGATATGAATGGCTGAGCCAGGGGTTACACTTTTCCACAACAGCAGAAGATTCCCTGCTTCTCTTCTGTTATGCAAGCAAATCTCTGGTAGCTCAGTGGAGGTAGTGCTGGGTTAGAGCAGCAGCGCCTCCCCCAGTTCATGCTCTGCTATCATAGCGAAACTGCAGGCAATGAAATAGTGAATATTGTGAATGTAGACACAAAATGGTAAAGATAAATAATAAAGAATTAATGGGAAAAACTGTTGATTTGAAATGAAGATGTACATTTATTTAGATGGGTAACATGGGTATCTAAATAAAATACAAGTAACACAAAGTTGTAGAGATTCTACAGTTTCCTTGTATGACTAAGGTTTCCAATTGATTCTACTTATAGTTAGCTGATGAGGTGAGTCAGGTTTGGTGTTTATACACACAAACAACATCTAATGAAAAATCCTGATATAAAATATACTTTGAGCATTGTATATCATTTTACACAGCTCTGTAGTCTCTGTAAGAACTCTGAAAAACAACCAGATACACAACCGAACAATATAATACAACAGGAGGTTATTATAAAGCAGTAACAAAGTAAGTGCAAAATCCAGAGTTTATTCTGTTGGCTTCTTGGTTTGTGAATATAGCTGTTCAACTCGTTCCTGATTTAGAAATGAAAAAAAAAAAAACAATACTTAATTAAACTGTTTAATACTTTTAAAAAATCAGACAGTATTTAATTAGTTGAGTAAATTAAGATGAACTAATATATAATCAAACAATCAGAAAACACTGCAGTGAGTTTTGTGTGATTTACCTTTTGGTGTTGGGTGTTATGGGGTTGTTATATGGCCTCATACACGCTCTGCTGGGTATCTGTTTAAAGCAGGGGAAAAGGAAGGAATTTTGACTGATTTTCCTGCAGAGATTCAGCAGCTTTCAAACAAAAGTTAATACAGAAATATTTGAGGATCCATAAGAGTTCATGAACTCTGGGAGGAATGGAAAAAAGGGCTTTGGCTGAGAACTGCTGTCATAGTTCTTACTCATATTACACAGATGGTGAACTGCCACATTGGTAAGTTTCATAACAAGTCGAAATGACAAAACAGGAACAATCAGATGTATTTTTGACAATGTTGTATTAATAAAAATAGCTGCGGATCTTTGTCACTGAGTTAAACCAGAAGGCTTTCATATTTGAGTAACGTAGGCTGGTACTTCAAATGAGCTAACACTAGAACTAACTGGTAGAGGCCTGCCCTTTTTATTTATTTTTTTTTTAGTCCCACTCCCGCAAGATTCCCTTAGAAAATCGGCATCCTTTGTCCTGCACAGGTCCGTCAAAGCGAACTGACATCCAAATATCTGACACAGTCTGTGCACAAACACATTCTCTGCTGAAATAACACATCAGTCGTGGCCATCAGGCTCACTGTGAGTAACTTCACCACTTCACCAAACACCATTTATTCCCAGCAGGAGCAGTTATTTTTGGTGCTTTACTGGGCTCGGCAGATATAGCTCCACCGTCTCTCTAACTAACGAGCAGAACAAGCTTCGCTGTGAAGATAATTAACTCTGATCAGCTCTCAGCTTCATTACTAGAGTGAAACGAAGGAGAAAAAGGTGAGATGAGCTGCTTTTCCACCGTTTACAGGCTTTAACTTCTGTTCGGCATTATTCATCCATTTTAAATATTTTACTGTTGTCATTTTATATTGTTTACATATATGATTTAGTGATCGTTCTACTTCTCTGCTCCCGCAAGCAACCCTGAAAATTAGTCCTGCGCCACAAGATACTGTGCCGGGTCCCGCAGGAATCCGCGGTAGTGCAGACCTCTACTAACTGGTGCAGCAGTTTTTTTTTCTTTTCAATAAATAATGTGTCAACATATTACTTAGTCAAGGTGACACTGAGGACAGAAATGTCTTTTAAGGATGTGAACGCATACTTGAGAATTCATATAACCGTTTGAGGAGCCAGTATTCGAATATTGAAAAATTATTTGGCTATTTATTATGTTCAGTCACAGAAGGACAAAGATAATATAACAGCCAACAGTTTAGTGTAACATCAATTTTATGATTTAAAAGTACAGCACAGTGTGACAAGCTTGCTTGTATTTGGGGAAATGCTTTAAATCTACTTTAAAACACAAGTGCCTTACTTTTCAATCCTCTTAAGGATGATGTGGGAATGTGTCTATTTCTGCTGTTTAATCTTCTTGTAACTCTGGATGCATGACTGTCAAAGAGCAATGCTTTAGCAGTTTATGGACAAAGAGAAACGGTAGTAGAGTTGGGCGATGTCTACCCAAGCGGCACTTGACGATGTCTACTGGGTGGATGATGATATCGATCACTGTGTTATGGCTGAAATATTCGGGTGAGGAACGGACGTGTCGTTTATCACCTTTTCAGCGAAGTCGGAGAAAGTGTGCTTATTGTTTAACAGTCTCTCTGAGCTGTTCAGGGACAACCTGTCATTTACTGTCCAGCCTGTGTGACAGCTACAAAAATATAGCAAAAATGAATAATCAAAGCTAGGAGCAGAGTTGTTTAAGCCCTCTTCACACTCAAGGGATATTTTTAACCTGTAACGCTTTTAACTGGGATGCGTGTGTTCCTGGTTAATGGGATGTGAAACTCACAGAGTTATTGGGCAACCATTTCTTAATTTCTGAATCATGTACAGAAACATACACACCCAACTTTTTTCTCTCACTATGGTGGGCAAAAAAGTCAACAAGTTTTTTTTTTCATAATTATTAACTTCCATTTTGAATTAACTGGATCAAAATCAAAAGACTAGCTCAAAAACTTTTTTTCTAACACCTGACGACAGATAGAATACAATACATTTTGTAAAGACAGTTTAAAAGTTAATTGCAAACTTGTTGCTCACTAAATTGTATTACTTGAATTTGAACTGAAAAAACAACTATAAAATCAAATGTTTCCCACACAGGTTGTGCATTGCAGGCCATGCAGCGTAGCGTTTGTGCAGTAGAGGCCAGTCACACGCAGGGTAGATCAACTAAACCAGAAAGCAGCATTTCAGAAATGTTTCACTTTGGCAGCTAAACTCTACACGCTACTGTATGTCACATTAACATATGAGGTTCTGTTCACATGAACTCTCCTGGTAATTTCCTGGAAATTGTACTAGGTTTTGTGCAGGTGATCATTACTGTGGTAATCCGACTTTGTCTTGTGTTCACACTGAACACCTTATTTAACTACCATCAAAGTCACAGGTAGGGATGCGTGTCTGAACAGAGCTTTAGGGGAAACACTAATATTAATGTGCTTAAAGCAGCAGTATGTAATATTTTTATTAAAACTAATAGAAGTAGCTTTACTGAGTATAGAGAATGAAGAACACACTGAAATATGGTGAGTTTGCGCTGCTGCGAGTCGCCCTGTAAAGCCTGAAAAGTCAGAGTTACCGGGACGGATTTGGCAGAAGATTTTCAGACCACGTTGTACATCTTCTTGTATTAAAAGAAGGTTCGACTTGATGTTTATGTTTGAAGTAATCTCAAAATCAACATTATGCTGCTGAAAATATAATGTGACATTAGTAGATAATTCACTCTCATCCTCAGAAGACATGTCTTTCACCAAGTTTAGACGGAGTTGTCTTCAAATATTCTTTCAGTGCACTCTCAAAGTCAGATCCATTCACTTGTGGGGGTCCAAAGTGCAACCGACATTACAAAATGTTGTTCTACACATTGCATGCAATTACATATTTCCACCAGAGAGGTCTCCAAATCCCCAAATCCTACATAGTGTTGCCTTAACTGTTTTCATGAGATTAGGATGTACTTGGTACTTTCACTTCATTTTACTGGCTCTTTCCTGCACTTTATATCCATTTAGACAACCAGAAACTGTCTGCCTGGCAAAATATACTACTACTAATAATAATAAAAATAATGATAATAATAATAAATAAACAAATTTCAGAACTGCTTTTCTAAACTGGGCTGCTGGTCATTTAGATTGTGTGAGAAAAGCATGCTTATTTTCACCAAACACCATAAAAAAAGGAGCAGAAAAGTGTAAAAACAGTATAGCCAGGAGGCGAGCATGACTTAGTTTAATGAGGTCTAATGCACCAGTCTTTTTCCTCAGACAGATGAAACATAATAGGGAGACAGAGACTGTGCTGACATGCACTTAATAATCTGATAACTGCAGAAAATCTTATTTTGTCAGTAATCTGATCAACACATTTATATGCACTTAATCAGATAGTGGGGAAACTCCAGGTCTACATGAGTCAGACAGTAATGAGATTTCTGCTTTACAACCAGCCAATAAACTCACAGACGTGATGTAAACGTAATGTAAAACTCAAACTTAATGCTGCGGCTTTTAACATCGCACCGCCTAAAAATTTGAACATACATCTACAAAATGAAAAATATTTCAATTCTTCGTTTTGTCAAGCATGTAGTCAGTTTCGGTGTCGCTCTAAAAGTGGCAACACTGTTTTGCTTATTTCCGGGTACAGCAGTCTGTTTTCACACATGCGCAGACTGAGAAATCCGAAAGAAATCTGAGTAAGAGTTTACGGCACTGAGAAATCTGATTACTGAGCTAAAATCCAGCTCTCTATCAGATTTCTAGATCATTGTGCTGTTTACATGATCATTTGAATAATTGTACAACTGCAGAAATCTGATTATGATAATCATTGATTGCATGTAAACGCACTGAGTTTATCAGAAGTCCTTCATATGTCATGATTATTGGTCAGGCACCTTTCAAGTTTTGTCCAAATTGACCTGTTGACGTTTGTATACTAAGCTGCAGATCTCAAATAAAAAAAAAGTCAAAATGCTGAAAAACATTCCAAAGTTCTGACATCAACTCTAATTGCATAGTTGGTTGTATAATAATAAATGTAAATACTGAATGCAAATCTGAGCATAAACCACTAGATGGACTCCTAGAAAGTACTGCAGTGGGTTTACCTGTGATCTGGACTCCTGGATGAGTTGCCAGGTAGTAGATGGGTTCCTTTGTCCTTTGTTGGTCACCTGCTAATAGAGAAATACAGCATGATTGACTGAATCATTTGTTGAATATTATCAGTGAGATACACAACATATAAATAATTTTATATTAATTATTTCCACTTTTCATAATTTACTGTCAGCAGCAACAAAAAGCCCCACTGAAGACTCACTGCAAGGGGCAGGCTAGTTTAAATACTGTGGTCACTCACACTGATCAACATCAACAGTATCAGCACAAATAAAATAAACTCATCTAATTATAAAAATCATTTGATAAATAAATAAATAAATAACTATTACTCACCAGGTTGTGAGGTTGGTGTGTTGTCATTAATGGTATAATAGACGTGCTCCTGATCTTGTGTAACAGGGTACGCTGCAGAGACACAGAGCAGAAGTTACACTGTAAATATCACTCTTTGAAAAAGTCAAAGACACCAAAATGGTTATTTACAGCAAAACCATGGAATTACAGATAACCTCACAACTAAGGTTTACAAATGACCACGAACCACTGGCAGGTTCTTAAGGGAAGTAGTTCCATTGTGGCATTCACTAAAGAACCACTGTGAAGGAGTGTGATAGGGTGTTCTCCACTAAAAGAAAGTGGACTGATTTTAATCAATACAATTGTGCACCCATTTCCATGCGAATAAACAGATTTTTTTTTTTTCTTTCAGTGTAAGAGTTTAAATATTTTCAGTTGATTTCAATATATTGATCAATATATTTCATACTTGTGCACTGCAGTGTCATCCACTTGTGCTCCTGGGGCTGTATTACAGAATCTGACAGGTCAAGATAAGATTTTTCTCATTCGTATTACAGAAGCAAATCTGATCTTAATTTAAGAATCTTATCTTGCAGCATCTTATCTCCAGTTAGGAAATCTTAACTAATGTTAGCTACTGTTACTGATGTACAAAAAGGTCAAACAAAACTAAAGTGTGATAAACTGTAAGTAGTGAATACTGTGAGAGCGCCCCCTGCTGTTTATCAGAGTCGCCGCTCCCCAGTTTCAGTCTCCATTTCCCAAACGCTTTAGCCGAGCGCGCTAACGTTACTCCTCCTAATAAACAGACCCACGTTCAGCTCCGTCTCCTCATTATTCACCACCATCACTGTAATATTTGTGGAGATTGTGTCTGAAGTGTCTGGGGGTTTAAAACGCTGGTAGAAAAAAAGTCAAAGCACCATTTTCAGTGTAGATAAATGTAACGTCATTATGCTGGTTATAGTGGACTGTGCTGCCTCTCACTGCATAAAACAATAGAAACAGATGGTTAAACAGAAGTTAAGGCAGCTCTGAAGTTTATCCTAAAGTTAGGACAGTATTTAGGAGGTTTAGTCTAGTTATGATGTTTGTGTGATGCTGTTTTCTTATCTGGAGTTCATGATGAGATTATGAAGTTAAGAACTGATGTCCTGTAATAGCTACAGTCCTAAATTCAGTCCGTACTGAAGTTGTCATGGTGACTAAGCAGATAAGATTTCAGACTTAAGACGTTTCTGTAATATGACCCCAGGAGTCCCCCTGCTGCGCACATTGAAGTATGCAAGAATATATATGCAAGAAACCCCATTTGAAATAGCACAATAAAATATAGTGCAAAAGTAGTAATAAATAAATAGTGCAATAAAAAACATCACCTTTCCTTTTGTAGAAACGTCTCCATGAGAACAGAACCAGCGCCACAGCAACCAGACAGCTCACTGCTGTGATCAAAACTTTCCACAGAACTGAAAATAAAAACACAAGATCACCTCTCAGGATCCATTCACATCTTCACACTGAGGATGTTTAGTATAAGTTCCCTTTTTAAATGACTTCTGTATGAAAAATACTATTAAAATCAAACCATGGCTGCCAGAGTCATTTTCCAGCTTAAAAAGAATACAGACCTAAATTTCTGAGGGTGGTTTCACAGACATGTGGAGCTAAGTTATTAATTTGTCACATAGGTTGTAACAATATTAATGTATTTTAAAACAAACAAAAACAAAGGCTGAAAAATAAGTGTACAGCTTCAAATGTGACCAGTTTCATAAATAATTTTTTTTTCCACTTTTCTTTTTTTTTCCATTGTACTTCAGGGTCACCCAGTTGTGGTCCTGAAATCGTCCTGCTCTGCACCTCGAAGGGGTGGCTATGTAGTGTCCCGCTACTGGCTACACGTGTTCGGATAGACTTGTAATGTAAATAAGTTGTTTGTTCAGTCTAAGATGTGTTGTTTGTGCTATTCTGTGCTGGGCTGTGGGTTAGAGCACTGTTAGTGCCCACTGTCAGATGAAAGTGGCACAGAAGCAAGACATGCCAGTTGAACAGAAGTGAGTTTTCTGTGGCACCTTAATAAAAGGAGTTTCATTTTACCATTCATAAAATTTGTCACATCGGCATTATGTCACTACACTACAAAGTCAGTTGTTATAACGTGCTACACAATGTCATACATAAAATACAAATTGCATCCTGTATTAAAAATCTGGTCATCCTATCTAGTGCTAGATCATCTGATAGCACCACGGTAGTGGCTCATATTAACCTTGAGTTGTTCCTCCAGATGGACCTTTAGTAGTTGTTGCAGCTTCTGCAGCAGTTGTGGTTGTAGTCGTTGCAGCTCCTGCAGCAGTTGTGGTTGTGGTTGTAGTCGTTGCAGCTCCTGTAGCAGTTGTGGTTGTGGTTGTAGTGGTTGCAGCTCCTGCAGCAGTTGTGGTTGTGGTTGTAGTCGTTTCAGCTCCTGTAGCAGTTGTGGATGTGGTTGTAGTTGTTGCAGCTCCTGCAGCAGTTGTGGATGTGGTTATGCTGTTTGTTCCTAGAACATAGAGAATAAAGTTTGTTGTTTTTGTTTGCTTGGTTCAGTCTGTTTATTGTATGTCTCATCATATCACTTATAAAATGTGACTAATTCAGTAATCTGTATCATTCAGGCTGTTTACAGCTTGCATTAAAATGTGTTTCATGTTCAGATCATATTAGGATAAACTTTGGCCTGATTCCATTTGCAGTTTTCTCTCAAACACGTCCTCAGTGTGACCAGATAAGATCAGATTTTACTTTCCTGCATAAACGACCCATCAACACAAGTCGTTTCCATTTCATATCTGTTTACTTTACTCCTTTGTTACACTATTAATGGACAAGCTTGGCATAGAGGCTTTCACTGGCCCAGAGAGCAGGAAGGTGCTCAGTTTGGGGAGAACTCCAGTGTCCTTGTTTATTCTCTCACCTGCTTACTTGATTGTATAGGGATGTAAAAAACACATTCCACACTTACACTTGTGTTTGTTGTGGTCAAGATCTGTTAGTGGTTTTTTTTTTAGTTGTTCATGCCATGAAGTGAAATCTAAACATGGTCTGATCACTGAAAATGTTGCATGTAGGGTGTAAACAGCCTCATGAAGTTAGATACCAGTCAGGAATGTCAGACACAGTCTAATGAAATGTTCTCCTGCTCAAAGCTCCAGTCATTAAGTAGTGACTGAAGGAGTGGCATTCTGAGATTTATTTTAACATTAACATTATAGAAACCAAAAGCCAATTCACATAACTGTGCATATTCATAACTCTTAGCATTCTTAGTAAGTGGTAAGGTCTAATGCTCCAATATCATTTTTTTGTAGTTTATTGGGAATAACAGTAATATAACAATAAAATATCTGACAATGTAATATTCAGTATCCATTTGTTATGGTATAAATGATGACTTTTAGGGTATTTTAAACAAGCAAGCACACAATGAGAGCAGACCAGCACTCCTCTAAAAATCACTTTTTTTTTTAGCTCAGCTTTTTTTTTTATCTACCTTAACCTTACCTTAGATTCCCAATCTGCTGATGGAGTATATTTCCAAACTTTATAGCTCTTATAGCTTTATAGTTCTTCAGCTTAAACTGTAGTTACAATTCAAGCTCGTAACAGACATTTAGTAGTTTTTTCTCAGTTTTAGAGTCTGAATACAGTCCAGAACCTGTGATACACAGTAACTGGCTGGTGATTTAACGCATCACCCAGACATTTGACCCCAGACTCATTATGTTTCAGAGACAATGGCAGTGTAATCATGATTTTTCCTGTTCAAATGTTTGTAAATTCTTATAATTACTGTTTCATTGCTTTTTTCTTCTGATGTCCAGAGATATATAAATATGGTTTTTGTTATTCTGAGAAAACTGAACACAAATAATAATCTTATTTTAATGATATATGATTTCAGAATTGTGAAGAACAAATGCCATATTCAGTACAGTGATGTGATTTTTTTACAACATGATTTCTACTTAAACTTCAGTGAATTCCTCTGAGTTCACTTTTTGACCTCAGTTGTGATGGTTACTGATGCAGTAGATGTGGGTTGAAGGGTTGAAGTTGCTGATGACCAAGAAAAGATTTTTCTTTGTCATCAGCAACTTCAAGAAAGCATTATTAATTACTAACATATATATAAGTTATTTATACATTGATGACACATAACACATAATGACAATCTGAGGAAGTGCAGTTGGCCATAATTGTAATGTTTGCCTCTCAGTGTTGCTGCTTCTTGGCTGTCAAATCAACACCATAATCACTATTTATTAAGTAACACTTTACTGTAGGTCATTGTATATAAGACTACATGACACCTACATAAGCTCTTTATGACATCTGACACAAACCTTCATAAACATTTACAGCATTGCTGTTGAAACAAAACCTCGTATCTCCAAAAAGGAACTTAAGAGGAGAAGGAAAAACATCCTGAAGTGTTAATGGAAGTTAATTGAACAAAATTTCATTCCAAGTCACTTTGGACCATTTCTGTTCTCATCATCATGAAATTCTAACTCAATGCAGATTTTCAAGTTATGTAAAAAAGAGAAAAATGTTAAAAATGGAAACACAAGGTTTTTGTGCGACAGTAACCATCAACACTTATTTCAACAGGCATAAATTGTCAAAGGTTGCAGTTGCGAGCTTTTTTCTGACATTAGGTTTTTATGACACTTTCTGGGGTGAAATGACAGACTTTTGTAGATCAGTGTGACACATAATACTGATAAAATGGCATCGAAGAAAAACATGCCAGTTTGAACAGAAGTGAGTTTTCTGTGGCCCCTTAATAAAAGGAGTCTAATTTTACCATTTATACAATTTGTCACATCACCATTATGTCACTACACTACAAAGTCACTTGTTATAACGTGCTATAACATTTTACCTTAAAAAGTCAGATGTTACCTGACACAGGTGTTGTATCAACTTGACAGAGTTGACAAAAGCAGCCTTTACAGTAGATGATGCCTATTGAGTTAAGTCTTTATAAATGTTCATGTAGGTTTATAAAGGTGTTGAAGCTTGTGAAGTGTTACTGTTTATGACTGTTATAGATCAATAATGTAATGCTGCACATTTCTGTTCATTCCCACACACTCAAATGGATGAACAGTGTTCTTTATCCATGAATGAATAGAGTGGATAACGTCACCCTCACTGTTCAGGGCTCTAGGAACTGTCCTGACCTCCCCTGCCCTGCTTATATTTTCTATGTTGAATTAAAAGATTAACAAATAAATTTTTAGGCCTTTTAAGCTCATCTTTACAAAGGGTGCCAGTAATTCTGGAGGCCACTGCAGCTTTTAGGTAGATAGAAATGAAACACATTTCAACACTTACTGGTTCCTGATGTCACAGTGAGCTCCACTGTAGTTGTGTTGCAGTAGTATCTACCAGCGTCTGACTGAGAGACTCTGTATATAATCAGTTGTAGATTTGCTCCTGAGCTGTAACGTCTGTCTGGATCAGCGATGTGTTTGGTCGTCTCTCCAATATGAATAGTCAGAATGTCCACTCTCTGTCCGTTGATGTCTCTGCTCCAGGTCACTGGGGCTTTAGTTAGTTTTCCACAGTAAAGGGTGGTGATGTTTCCCTCTTTCTGATTCACATTTAGAATGTCTGTTATGAAGAACACAGTGGAGCAGATACAGAGTTAAGTCTGCAGTGTTGCTTTAATTTGTTTATTTTATCTTATTACAGCTCTTCATTCATCATTTCATCACTGTATGTTTTCTCTCACTCCATCAGGTCTCAGCCTTCTCCTCTCATCATTTCATTCCTGCCTGTATCTGTTACTAAAACACTCATATCTCCTCCCTCACTGTACTCTACAGTCTTTAGAATGCACTGCAGTTTTACATTACCTAAGGTGAGACACTACAGGTGAATGGGGTAACTGATTTCACAGTGAATCACTGCCAGTTGAATACTGGTGTTCTTTACATTAGATGAACTCTATCTAAATAAACAGGTATAGATTTTTATATTTAAAAAATACAGCTCAAAGATAATGTTAGAATTCAAGTGTTTGTCTTATGGTGACGACACACTGCAGAGAGAGAATTTCAGAGCGCAGATCTTTGAAATTTTATGGTTTAATTAAGAAAACTCTGCACTGTTATTATGAAATGTTTTCAGACCATTTTTAGATCATTGTGTTATCCTTAAGATTATGTTTAAGAACAAACATGCACAATTCAGTGGGTGCAGGTATTCTGGAAACTGGGCTTTGGGTCTGAATGTGGAGTTGGAGAAACAGTGTTGAGAATGGGCCTCAGAGGTTAAACAGGAAAACATGCACCATTAGTGGGAATGTCATAGGGTGGGCGACATGGAAAAAATGGCATATCACAGTACTTATTGAAATATTCACAATACACGACACATTAATCAACATATAGAATGAGGGTACATGATACATTCACTGTTGATATATTACTGTTTGATTAATAAAAAATAGCACTATTATTAGTCCAATATTAGAATCACAGCCAATAATAGCAGCTGATAATTTAGCAGTCTGTTTTAGCTTAACACAGTGATGCATGTAGTGTGGACACTGGTGCTGGACATTTCATTGCCAAACATTCAAATAGATAGAGTGGATAATGTGACCTGCCACCAGTAAGTGCCAAAGAAAAAGATCTTTGTTGACAAAATTTCTTTTAGGCTACAAATTGTGTGAGATATATATATATATATATATATATATATATATATATATATATATATATATACATACTAAATAGAGAAACATAAAGCGATGTGATGAGTAGAGGAGTAGAGTATTTCACACTTTCTTTCTTAGAGTGTTTCACACTTACCTTCAGTCACAGTGAGCTCCACTGTAGCTCCACTGCAGTAGTATCTACCAGCGTCTGACTGAGAGACTCTGAATATAGTCAGGACTAGATTTGCCCCTGAGCTGTACCGTCTGTCTGGATCAGCGATGTGTTTGGTCGTCTCTCCATTATGAGTGGTCAGAATGTCCACTCTCTGTCCGTTGGTGTCTCTGCTCCAGGTCACTTTACCGTTAGTTAGGTTTCCACAGTAAAGGGTGGCGCGGGAGCCCTCTGTCTGACTCACATGTAGAGTCTCTGTTATGAAGAACACAGTGGAGCAGATACAGAGTTAAGTCTGCAGTGTTGCTTTGTTTATTTTGCCTCATTACAGCTCTTCATTCATCATTTCATCATTTTGTTTCTTCTCACCACGTCTCTGCATTTTTCCTCTCATCACTTCATACCTTCCTGTATCTGTTACTAAAGCATTCATATTTCCTCCCTAACTGTACACTGCAGTTGTTAGGATGCAGTGCTCCAGGCTGTAGTGGGAAAAGTGTCAAAATATTAGTATTTTTATTTGACTGCTATTTGAAAACAGGGGTGACACATCTCCAAAAGGGTTGTTCTCACAAAACTGACAAACAATAGGACCCAACTTAAAAAAAAATAAATAAATAAATAAACTTTTTTTGTTTTTTGAATAATTAAAGGTAAGCCTGGATGTTTTTTTCTCATGACTGCAAAAACAATATCATTTAAAGATCTTAAATCTGTAAATAGTGTTTTTCCCCCAAGCCTTTCAAATTCTCTACACTGATAACAGGTGATACATATGTGGATTTATATTTAAGATTTTGTTATATTCCAGTAGATTTAGTTAAACAGTGCTTTACAGACTCATATGATTTATCAGTTCTCAGCAGTCACATTTTAAAATTCAAATAAACAATATTAAATAATGCTCAGTGCGGCGCTTCCTGTTTCTGTTGATTAAACTCTTGATTTTTTTTTTTATAGTTGACTTCTTAGAGGCTAAAGGTGATGTCTGGATAAAGTTTACATCTTTTTGTTATTTTAATCATGATGGTGCTTTGTGTTCAAACCACTTTGGCCTGAATAGCAGCTAACAGACTCCTTTTGGGCTCCTACATGCCTGTGCAATGTTTGTACAACTGTGCAAGGTTTCATCTGATACTACAACCAGAAAAGTTGTTGATTATCAACTCATGGATGGTAATATGTAAGTATATATCAATATTTAATTATATCTCAGTTTGTGATACATTTTTTAAAATGTCTGTATAAGTAAAAGTCATTCAGTGCGGTTTGGTGTAAAACATACAGAGCTGATGGTGGGAAGGCCTGTAGGTGGCGCTTCTAAGGGCAGCCGCATGAAACCTTGTCTCCCAGTTTTATTTTAGTTTTTAGCTATATTTTGGTGTTTTTAACAATATGTTTTGAAAAATAATTAGATGTTTTGAGAAATAATTATTTGTTTTAAACCATTTTTGAATCTTTAACACTTGGTGCTTTTGTAAATGGTGGATGAGTTTTTTCCTCACAAGATTTTTGTGGATAGTTTAGAACTCAGCCAGTGTTTGTAAGGTGTAATGAACACAGCCTTGTCCTTAAGAAGTTGGATTTAAGCCAAAGGCTGCTATAATCTGCATTTCCACCAAGGATTTAGCTTGGCAAATGTTTGCAGATATTCAGTGGATTTCCTGTGGAGTTTGCAGTCAAGTGGAGTTTGCTTAAACCCAGAACAAAAAAAATCTTTTGTTGGACTATTACGATATCGGACTCGGCCAAGAGAAAAAAAGGTGCCAATAGACAAAGGAAAATACAAACAATCTGCAGTTACAGAGCTACATTAAACCACAACCACGTTCTTTAAGAGTGGTGAGTAAATCTTCTTCGGTGACTGTTCCATGTTCTGAAATCCTTTTGGAAACAAAATCTCTGTGAACAATGCCAACTTTCTTTCTTACCAATCCCAGATCTCTGGTAAATAAACTGGATGAACTACAATTAATATTACAAATAAACAATGTGGATATTGCTGCAGTTTCAGAAACCTGGTTTACTAAAGAACATCCGAAAGCCTTCACCAAATTGGTGGATATATGCAATACTCAAGAGTCTGCACTGATAGACGGGGTGGGGGAGTCTCTGTTTATATCAAGGAGAGCATACCTTCTTGCCAGTTTACCTTCTTGTCAAGTTCCAGAGGATTTGGAGTGTGTGTGGGTAAGAGTATGACCCCAGTTTTTACAGAGGTCTTTGTCAGCTTTGGCTGTGTGTGCTATATATCTGCCATCCCAATCACCAAGCCAAGCCTCTCTGATTGCGCATATCTTAACAACAACTGATCTCATTAGATCTGAGTATCCAAATATTGGTATTGTTCTATAAGGGGACTTTAATAGACTGGATATCAATTCACTGTGTAAAGGAAATGATTTAACCCAAGTGGTCAAGTACAGCACAAGGGGAGATGCCAGACTAGATCTCATAATTACAGATTTGGCCTCATATTACAACCCACCCCAGGTCCTACCACCAGTGGGGTTGAGTGACCACAAGTCAGTACTGTGGACACCTAAAAAAATTGATAAGATGGATAAACGCATCAAGATCAAAAAATGGCAGATGAGACCTGCAAACATGGCTCAATTTGGAAGGTGGTCATGTGACCACACATGGAAAGAGGTTTATGAGGCCCATGACACAGTGTCCAAAACTAATGCCTTCTACTAGACACTTAGCACTGCCTGTGACAGATTCCTTCCTCTGGTAACTATAAAAAAAAACAACTGATAAACCTTGGATGAATCACACTATTAAGCACTTGATATATCAGCATCAGAAGTCATGTAAACACAACAGGAACAATCCCCTGGCTAAGTTCTATTGAAATAAAGTGCAGAGAGCCATCAGTAATGCAAAAAAGGGGTTTTACTCCACACAGATCTCCTATCTTAAGAATGAAAACCCAAGACATTGGTATAATGAGATTCGGTCTATGGCAGGGATGAAGAGAACAACCTTAAAAATTGACATCCCAGCATGTAAATCAGACAACAATAAAGCCATTGCTGACTTTATTAATAAATCTTTTTCTCATATCAGGCAGTCACAGTCCCCATTAGAAGTCTCAGCTTTACTTGCCTTTCTACCATCTCCAAAAACTCTTCCCCTGGTCTATCCATGGTATGTGTATGATAAATTGAAAGTGGTTAAAACTAAGAAAGCTCCTGGCCCTGATGGAATACCTCAGAGGGTGTTAAGAGACTTTGCTTGTGAACCTAGCGACCCCTTATGTGATATTCTTAATACATTTTTCAGAGAAGGGATTGTGCCTTCACAGTGGAAAGAAGCAAATGTTATTCCGATTCCTAAATCCCAACCCCCAACAGTAAAATCAACCGTGACCAATATCACTAACTCCTCAGCTCAGTAAAATAGCTGAAGAGTTTGTTGCAAGCTGGGTAAAAAGAGATATAACCCCAAATCTTGACCCTGCACATTTTGGTAGCAGACCAGGAAGATCAGCTACTCATGCCTTAGTCAGTATCCTTCACACCTTATATAAAGCCTCTGATATTCCATTGACTACTAGTACTTTTATTACTAATGACTTTGCAAAAGCTTTTGATAAAGTGGATTTGACTGTTGCTATGAAACGACTGATACAGTTAGGAGTCTGCTTTAATGCCTTGGCTCTGTAGCTTTGTCTCAGGTCGTCGGCAAAGAGTTCGGTATCAAAGTTGCTACTCTGATTGGCAAGAACTTACTGGGGGAGTGGCACAAGGTACATTACTGGGGCCTGCCATAGATTTTGAAAATCGCTGGAAGTATGTGGATGATTTAAACCTTACCCAGGTGTGTAGAGGTCCCAATGTAACCTCTCCTCAGATGGTCCTGGATAATCTAAACAGGTGGGTTCATAGTAGTCAAATGATGTTGAATCCAACCAAATGCAACATCATGACAGTGACTTTTTAGAAGAACCCACCTCCCTCTATACCCCTTTACCTGTCCAGACAACAGCTACCATCTTGCAAAATGATCAAGGTCAGTCATTGATTGAGTCAGATTTACAATGGGACCATCACACATGCTCATGTAAAGAAAGCAAATACCAGACTTCATTTCTTGAGAAGACTAAGAAGAACCGGAGTGGCAATCTCTGACCTAACTTTGATATACACAGGTTATATTCACCCCATTTTAGAGTACGCCTGCCCAGCATGGCATGGAAACCTGACACAGTATCTGTCGAACCAGATTGAGACTGTCCAGAAACGTTCATGCCAAATCATCATCGGCAGGACTTATTCTACGTATCAAGAAGCCCTTCAAGCTCTCGCATTACCAACCCTTAAAGAGAGAAGAGACATACTGTGTAGACGGTTTGCCTTTAGTCTCCTAATCTCCTCTTTTACAGAGTGGCTACCACCTTCAAGGGCCCAGATATCAGGCTGGAAAACCAGAGACAGTGACAAACCACAGATTCTAAAAACGAGAACTGACAGATTCTGAAAGTCACCCATTCCTTTTTTTTACAAGAATATTAAATGAAAATGGTAACACTTTCTATGAATGTCACCTTTGTAAGCATCTATAAACACATTCATAGCATGTTATAATGCATTCATAAGGCATTAGAAACATGGCTATAAATATTTATAAAAATGCATTATACGTTATAGCCATGTTTATTATGCATTATGAATTGTTAATATAATACATTATAAGTACTGATCATAACAAATTATAAGAGCTCATAAGTCGTATTTGTCCGCTCTAAGTAAAGTGAAGCGTACTGTACTAAAGCCTCCTCCAGTGTTAAGAGTGAGGCTTCAAGTTGAAGTATTTACTGAAGGATTTACTGAAACACTAAAACATTCACAGTAAAGCTCATTACAGGCTTCAAATGTCAGAGTTTAAACTAGAGCTGCCATCAGTGTTTTACCCAATGTGGGAAAGGTAATGTACACCACCGTTAGCTTGGTATTTGTCTTTACTTTACGCTCTCCAAGCTCTTCAAGACTTCTTTGGTACTGAAATTATAACGTGTTATTAACACTATTTATAATGCATTATATAAACAATTCATAATGCATAATAAACATGGCTATAAAGTGTAATTCAGTTTTATAAATGTTTATATTCATGTTTATAATGCCATGTAAATGCATTATAACATGTTATAAATGTGTTTATAGATGCTTACAAACGTGACATTCATAGAAAGTGTTACCATGAAAATTTATAGAATGGTTTGCATCTTTATGAGGCATACATTGTCTTATTTATTTATTTATTTATTTTATAAATGTGTAAGTGAGCATTGTAAATACTCATGTAATTCAGTTTTGCTTTCTGTAAAACTGCAAAATGAGTGTGAAATAAATTCAAATTCAAAAAAGACACATGCAGGGTGTTGTAAAGCAAAATAGTAAAAACTAATTTTAAATATTCCATATAAACTCAGAAGACACGTGTAGGTTCACTGGTGGTTTTGGATAGTAAATAAAATGTCTATAGTTGTGTTGATACCAACATTTGAGATTCTTTTTGAAAATCATGGACACTGTGTCCTCCAGGCTAAACTCAGCTTATTATCAGTGTACAGTTCAAAAGCCAGTATTCATGATGGTGTAGGGGGGCATTAGTGCACATAGCAGGGGTGACGTGCACATCTGTGAAGGCACCATTAATGCTGAATGATATATACATGTTTTGGCAACATATGCTGCCATCCAGACGACGTCTTTTTCAGGGAAGGCCTTGATTATTTCAGCAAGACAATGTCAAACCAAATTCTGCATGTATTACAGCAGCATTGCTCTGTATTAAATTCTCTGAATTTAACTGACCTGCCTGCAGTCCAGACCTGTCACCACTGCGAACATTTGTCACATTATGAAATGAAAAATACAACAAAGGAGACCCTGAACTGATGATCAGCTGAAATCCTGTATCAAACAAGAACAAGAAAATATTTCACTATATCAAAACTACAGCAGTGTCTCCTCAGTTCCCAAACACTTACAGAGTGTTGTTAAAAGAAGAGGTGATGAAACACAGTGGTAAACAGGCCCCCGTCCCAACTTTTTTGGAACGTGTTGTTGGCATCAAATTCAAAATAGGCATTTATTAAAAAAATAAAAATCTCTGCTTGAACATTTGATTTGTTGTCTTGATTTATGTACTATTTTCCTTTATAAATATGGTTTACATGATTTGCATATCATTGCATTCTATTTTTATTTACATTCTGCACAGCATCCCAACTTTTTTGGAAATGGGGTTGTATTTTATAATATATTTATGTCCTACCATTCCTCTCTTTTGTGAAAGGAATTTGGACAGTTTTATTTTACATTGATATCAATTTAATTCATTTTTTTTTAAATAAAATAAAATGTTTAGGAATTGGACTGATTGGTAAAGGGGGTGTTCTGTTGCAATAATAATTTGATAAAGTAGAAATCTTCCAAAATAATAATTAAGTATTATTAAACTGAAAGTTCTGATCCTAAAATCTGATCAGCTGAGCTGCTTCTGAAACCATTGTGGTCAATATGCACAATATGCACAATCCTATCACTGCCTCACATGGACCAAGTCATGGGAAACCCTTGTACTGTAATGTAATAATCTTTGACTGTAATGCTGCTGGCACTGACCACTGAATGTACTGAAGTAGGAAACTAATTTGGTTCAACCCTCTGGGGTCCACAATCCCATGTATCAAATTCAGTGGTTCTATAAGTGTATAAGTGTCTTTATCTTTGTGATGATCCAGCACAGAAATCCAGTTCAAACAGTTCCTGAATCTGCCGCCCGTTCCATTCCATCTTATCACGAGATCATACGAGACTCACCTCCGGAGTTATGAGCCTATGAAGAGGGGCTGAGATACACGTCATCTGCCTCTCACCGTGTGGAGCTGGTGGATTCGTGTGTCCGTCTACATTCTGTGTGAAACTGACTGATGGACACTCAGGAAATCACTAAGGACTGACCATCACGCCGGAAACCTTTCATTCTTCACTCGGTCCACATCGGAGACTCATGTGAAATGGCGTGCAGAGAGTTTACAGCTGCTGAAGCTGCAGCAGCGGTTTTGGAAAGTAGTGATGAAGATAACGGAGCATTTTAACATGAAACATATGAGGATCATGAATCTCAGACAGCCCCTTCTTCTTATATAGTGTGCTATGTAAATCATGAATTTCTGGTGGATCCAGTGTGAAATTAGACACCTGTTGGCTTAATCCCAAATGACCACTTGATAGATATTTTATGCACTGTTTGTGGGAAAATGAGTGTACAACACTTAGCTTGGAGCTAAAAAAAGCCTGGAAATCGCTTAGAAGCACTAATTGAAATTAGCATTGCGAGCGATGAGATAATTTGACAAAGTAAAAAGATTTATTTGGAACAATCAAGTGTGACAAATATTCAAAAGTAGAAGTAATAACATAACACACAAACCTGTTCTAAATATACACCCAGTACCTCTGTCAACGCCCACAATCTACATCCAGGTCTTAATATAGGTTGCATAAACAAGTTGATGTGGTTTAGAACCCAGTGTGACTCACTATGAACTATAAAAAGTTTCTGGGCCTGATGTGTTGAGCATTTCGTGCCAGTTTCAGATGCAATTCAGATCCATTATGTCTATTTGTTCTGTGCACAAGCCTAAACGGGCAGTTTCTGGCCGTGTGCATTGAAAACCATTACCTTAGCTAGTAACCTACAGGTATTCCATATGATTTTAAATGTCTGCTCAAACCATATAAACTTGATCCAGTCAAGCTTCTTCCCTCCAAATCCTCACTGTTAACAGTTCTGTGTAAAACTGGAGGTTTTCTCAGAGAACGTCATGTTTGCTTTTGAAGTGATGAAAACCAGTCTAGCGTTGCCTGATTGGCTAAACAGCATGTGGTGGCTGCCTTCTTTGGCATAAAGTTGAAATCTGGTGAACTGTTTTGCTGTGTGGTGAGGCAGATTTCACCACACCACAAACCATCAGGCGCTGCACAATGTAGCAGAGCTCTCCAAAAAGATGCAGTGAGACGAACATTCGAGTGGACAAGTCATGTTAAGATTTTGCCTCACAGGTTGAAAATGATAACATTCGTGTTGATTGAGAACAGAAGGAGGAAGCAGCTCGTGACTCTCCAAGCACTGGGCACAACCACATCAGCAAGATTTGTAATGTTTATACAAGCAAACTACAGATCTGTTACAAAACGAAAATGAAACTGTTTCCAGCACCACCTTTTCTGAACAATTCAGCTGAAAATGTAATAAAATATATAAAAATATATTCATGAAAATAAATACCACTACTGACATTAGACACTGTCAGACACCAGCAACTTGAAAACAAAATAGAGCCACAAATAAATCTGCAGTACATTTTTGATGAATCTGTAAGCTCAAGTTGTTGTAATGTGACATGGGCATATATGGACTGTTCTTATTGTTTTAGTCGTGCCTGCCATGCACTAGAAATGGAAATATTAAATATAGCCTATGAGGTAAGCCATGCCAAACTACTGAGGGCCTTGTGGCTAATGACATACAATGGCATGCAAAAGTTTGGGCACCCCGGTCAAAATTTCTGTTACTGTGAATAGCTAAGCGACTAAAAGATGACCTGATTTCCAAAAGGCAGAGATTAAAAAAATCTTTAATATTTTAAGCAAGATTACTTTTTATTTCCATCTTTTAAAGTTTCAAAATAACAGAAAAGGAAAAGAGCCTGAAGCAAAAGTTTGGGCACCCTGCATGGTCAGTACTTAGTAACACCGTTTTGGCAAGTATCACAGCTTGTAAACGCTTTTTGTAGCCAACTAAAAGTCTTTAAGTTATTGTTTGAGGGATTTTCAACCATTTCATCTTTGCAGGAGTTCTGTGAGATTCTTGGGCCATCATGTATGCACTGCCTGTCCATCCACAGAGTTTTGATGATGTTTAGGTCGGGGAAAAGTTATGAAAGCTCAAGTCTCTTTTGTATAGTGCTCTTTCCTTTTTTCACTCTGAAATGGTACAAAAGAGAAATAATACACTATTTTTGCTTAAAATGTTGAAAGGAGTGTTTCGTCTTTATGTCTTTTGGAGATCAGTTCATCTTCTACTCTCGTAACTATTCACAGTAACAGAAAATTTGACCACGGATGCCCAAACTTTTACATGCTGCTGTAGATTTCCATGAAAATGTATTATTTATTACTTTATTTGTTTAATTCAAATGAATTTGTGACCATATATAAATCAAATGTTATTAATCCTGTTCTCTTTAAACTTCTTTGTTAATAAGGACAGTTATATGGTCAGGTCCATAAGTATTTGGACAGTGACCCAGTCTTTGTAATTTTGCCTCTGTGCACCACCACAGTGGACTTGAATGTAGCAGCCGAGATCTGACTGAAGTACAGACGTTCAGTTTTAATTGAAGGGGTTTAACAAAAATATTGCATTAACTATTTAGGAATTACTGCCATTTTTTACATAGTTCCTCCATTTTCACAGGCTCAAAAGTAATTGGACCGTTGAAAGATAACGCCTCAGAACAACTCTCTGTGGTAGCAGATGAAACAATACAGATTCAGGCAATAGAGATTAGGTTTAAAACCTCTAAAGTATTCCTTTAATATATATTTTACAAGGTTTTGCCACATTTAAATTTTCTGTGCTTTCTAACTATTAGCATTATAATTATTATAGGTATCTACATCTTGGTTTAGCTTGTATTTGTTTTAAGCATCATGTCTTGCCATTTTTAAGAATGATAAAGTGAATCTGCAGGCTGGTCTAATGTGTCTATATTGAATGCGTCCGCAGTGTAAGGTGGTCTACTCACCGCTTTGAGCTGTTTGTATGATGCCGTAGAGCAGGAGACACATTAAAAGAAGAAGCTTCATGGTCCTCTGTCTGTGCAGTGAGAGTTCTGTCTGGCTGTTGGTTTGATGTGCGAGCTAACTAAAGGAACTGCCGTCTGCACTCTTTCACACTTTTGCAGAAGAATACATACCCTGTTCCTTCCGCCTTGAACAGTTTCCTCTTTCACAGTTCACACGCATGTCAGCAAAGGCGTATTATTTGGAATCAGCTGAAGATCCACTAATTACGTTTTCTGTGGTTTAATATTCCGAAAACATCAGTGATGACAGTTTAACAGCTGATTTTTATTCTTTATTCTTCTTAGAACTAAACAGGCTGCTTTTTACTGTGCCTTTAAGACTGATATATGTAAATGAGCTCGGTTTTGATTGGCTGCCCTGTATTTTGGCCCAAGAAATGGCCAATGGCTGTAGAAGAATGCCTAATATAATATACATACATATCAAAATAATATGTATAATTAGTACAATAAGTATTTTTATTCAGGTTTGTATGTTTTAGCACTCCTCATATTCACACACTACATTTCACCTGTTTTTTAATGTCTTGTCCTGCCATTTTTTTGTACTGCATATATTACTGGGCTTTGAGCCTAGTTTTGCACTGATGTGCGCTTACGTTAATTAATGTGTTATACTGCACAGATGTGTACAACTAAACCTATTTTTCTGCGCTGTCGTGTTGCACTGTGTATTCATTGTATTGTAGTTTAGTCTATTGTATTTACATAAATCAGCCAGTGTTAAAGTTGAACTGCATTGTCAAATCTCATCTATTAGGTGTAATAATGCATTAAGTCCTTCATATGTCTGCATTCAACATTGCTATGTAATGACATTCACTCAGCAGATCTTCTTGATTTTATAACTGTGCCTGGTTTAAACTAAAATTGAAAGGTACTGAAATGACGAACATTTCATACTTTCACACGGTACATTCTGTCACCTCCATGCTGTCTCTGAGATTTCTTTCTCTTTCCCCACTTCTTTAAACATGTCCTTGCCTGCTTCACATCTCCTTGGGTTGTGCGTCACACCCTTGTTACACAAGCATCCAATCATGGCAGATGGGGTGGAGTCGCCCTCACCTTCGGCTAGGTTTGCCTCCCCTGCTAGAAAGACCAGCACAGACCAGCACGGCTGGTTATCAGCAAAAAACGGCATGTGCATCTGTAGTCTGGGTTGTTTTTTCAGAAGTGTCATTGAGCTAAATGGACAGCCATGCAAAATTTGCAATGCAAAACATTTTTTGAGAATTTGAACAAACGAAACATAATTTTTGAGTAGTTGCTTTGTTTGGCAGTGAGAATTTTAAACCCATGATGTATCGTCAAGTCAAAGTTTATTAGCGCTTTTTACAACCGGTGTTGTCATAAAGCAGCTTTACATAAAAATTCTACAAAATTTTATTGATTTCGTTTGGTTGTTATTAGACATGCAGCCTTTATCATGCTAACTATCCAGCTAGCAGAGGAAAGTGATGGAGTTTTACTTTTTAAATTACTTTTGTAGTTACTTTTTTACGCAGGGCCAGTTGGTGTTGGAACTTTTTTCCATTAAATGAAATGATTGCTAAAGAGGGTTCAGATACTTTTTCACAGCACTGTATATGTAACACTTGCTGGTAGCGCACATCTAACCCAGGCCTTCTCATTTGCACAGGCACTTTCACATCAGTCAGCTGTGTGATGAGAAGCGTGTCTGTGGTGAGAGTATCAGGTGTGGCTCTTCTGTGGTTTGAAATGTGATCTGAAATTTATTTTGAGACATCGTTTTGAGAACAAGCACGTTTCTGAAACTACATTGCGTTTGTGGTTTGACATTATCTACTAATTTGGGTAAACATATGTCACATCACTCCAAAACAGTAGCAGCAGATATACTGGGTGGCCAAGTGTACACTATATGGACAAAAGTATTGGGACACACCTCTTAGTCACTGAATTCAGGTGTTTTATTTAGACCCAGTGCCACAGCAAAATCAAACACCAGCCATGCAGCCTGCCTTTACACACATTAGTGGAAGCTTCATGGTTTGAGTTTCCATGGCTGAGCAGCTGCATGCAGGCCTTACAACACCAAGCACAATGCCAAGCGTTGGATGGAGTGGAGTAAAGCGCCGCCACTGGACTCTGGAGCAGTGGAAACGTATTCTGTGGAGTGATGAATCAGCTTCTCTACCTGTCAGTCTGATGGACGAGTCTGGGTTTGGTGAATGCCAGGAGAACGTTACCTGCCTGACTGCACTGTGCCAGCTGTAGAGTTTGGTGGAGGAGGGATGATGATGATATGGGGTTGTTTTCAGGGGTTGGTCTAGAACCCTTAGTTCCAGTGAAGGGAAATCTTAATGCTTCAGCACCAAGACATTTTGGACAATTGTACACTTTCAACTTTGTGGGAACAGTTTGGTGAAAAACTTTTCCTCTTCCAGCATGTTTAGTCAAGTTAGGATGTTTGTGTGATGCTGTTTTCTTATCTGGAGTTCATGATGATAATCTCCGAAATTCAGTCCCTAAGGAAGAGTTAAAATAAGGAGGGTCTGAAGAGAATCATATTAGACATGATCTGATAAGAACTGCAATCATGTTCACTTTGTGAGGAGATCCTGGTTTTATTATTATACTCTAATTAAACTAATATCGCCGTCGGTGACGTTCGCTCTGTATCTGTGAGGAGATCCTGGTTTTATTTCTATATTCTAATTAAACTAATATCACCGTCGGTGACGTTCGCTCTGTATCTGCGAGGAGATCCTGGTTTTATTTCTATATTCTAATTAAACTAATATCACCGTCGGTGACGTTCGCTCTGTATCTGTGAGGAGATCCTGGTTTTATTACTATATTCTAATTAAACTAATATCACTCAGTGACGTTCGCTCTGTCTCTGTGAGGAGATCCTGGTTTTATTACTATATTCTAATTAAACTAATATCACTCAGTGACGTTCGCTCTGTATCTGCGAGGAGATCCTGGTTTTATTTCTATACTCTAATTAAACTAATATCACTCAGTGACGTTCGCTCTGTATCTGCGAGGAGATCCTGGTTTTATTTCTATACTCTAATTAAACTAATATCACTCAGTGACGTTCGCTCTGTATCTGCGAGGAGATCCTGGTTTTATTTCTATACTCTAATTAAACTAATATCACTCAGTGACGTTCGCTCTGTATCTGCGAGGAGATCCTGGTTTTATTTCTATACTCTAATTAAACTAATATCACTCAGTGACGTTCGCTCTGTATCTGCGAGGAGATCCTGGTTTTATTTCTATATTCTAATTAAACTATATCACTCAGTGACGTTCGCTCTGTATCTGCGAGGAGATCCTGGTTTTATTTCTATATTCTAATTAAACTAATATCACCGTCGGTGACGTTCGCTCTGTATCTGCGAGGAGATCCTGGTTTTATTTCTATATTCTAATTAAACTAATATCACCGTCGGTGACGTTCGCTCTGTATCTGTGAGGAGATCCTGGTTTTATGTTGACAGTCTTTCTAAACAGGTCCTGTTCTCCACTAGAGGGCGCTTCACTGCCAGAGCAGAGCAGAGCTGGAGGAAGCTTAGCTACGTCTCCTGACTATAATTCTCTCCTGATTAAACAGATCAGTGCGGCTTATTTCCTCAACATTCAGACACAGAAACACCATAATGTTCAATTTAAACATATAAATATTTCACTTCATGTTCTACTCTAGTTCAGCTGAATGAGATGTTAGATCTTGTTTTCGGAGTTGTTGAAGTTTCTCAGTGCTGTGACCTAATGCTGAGCTAAAGCTAACACATCATCCACACTTTCTCAACTGATTAACCATCAGATGAAGATCATTATCTAATTATTTCATTTAATTTAATTCATGTTTATTTGTTCATTTATATCAGCTGTGCCAAGCATTAAAAGCTGAATTGCACTAACTTTCATCCAATACAAGCTGTTTAACTTATTTGGTGTTTTTTTTTTACTTACATTTATTAAAAGTGACTTCTTCTCCTGTATATTTTTCTATCTACACACACTATTTTATAAAAGTAATCTTTCAGGCTACACTCCGATTCATCTGCCTCTTCAACAGGAGGGCCTGTTTTAGAGAATTTTAAGACGTTCAGTTTAGATAAAGAGCAGCAACACAGTAAAAATGTATTAGAATTAGCAGCTACATTTCAACACCACCAAAAGCCAGGAAGTCCCTGATAGAAAATATTTATTCTACACAGCAATTCCTTTACACTGTGCAACAAAATACAGTAATACAATGTTTCTTTTAATCACTGCCCCCTTTTCTACAGCTCTACTGCAGTATTTCACAAGGACAAGTGACTTTAAGTGAACTAAAGCATGGAAAACGGGTCTGGAGAAGCCAAACCGAGCTGCAGGATTAGAATGATGGAAAGGTGAGCCAAATGATCTGATCATAATGTGTGATCAGCTCAGACGTTCAGTTCATTTCAAGACGTAGCTGCATAAATAGGCTTTATTTTCAGTGGTCTTGGCCTCTTTAGGGGCCATTCAGACCATCTTTTCAGACACTCTCCAAAGCATATTGATGTCTGTGGATCAACAGGCAGCGTGATTGACTCCTCTAGCCTGAGCAGTGTGCTTCAGTTTGATGCTGTACATTTAAGATGAAAAAGCATCTTTTCCACCATTCAGAGTACAGAAAACCTGCTAGTTTGGACTGTTTTCAGACCCCAGAGCAGTTTAGAAATGTTTATCGTTCAGTCTTTCATGTTCAGATCACAGTGTGATATTTACTGACCGGTCAGGCAGATGTTCTAACCCCCTAAAGAGGCCCAGCCTGCTTCTTTTTAAGAACTAGACACGGTCATCATGTTTAAAAAGGCATCATCTGAACACCTATTAGCTCTGTGCTATTCTGTGTTTCCACCACTGTAACAAGTCAAATCCTACTGTAGAGTCTTTTAGAGCAGAGAAGACTCTTACAGCAAGACTGATTTTGGTGTCTGATATATTCCAGAATTAAATCTGTTTTATAACATCAATTCACTTAATCTGCAGGTGATATTTTAGAGTTAAATATAGAAAATGTTTGCCCTAAGCTTTGTTTCAGAGTGTTACTCATA